TATTGGCCAACAATCAACAGCGACATCGAAAGAATAATCTCCAACTGCCAACTCTGCCAGGAACACCAGCAGTTGAACCAACAAGAAGCCCTGGAAGACAGACACCTTCCAACACGACTGTGGCAAATCGTCGTCATTGACTTCTTCCATCTCCACAGTGTCACCTACCTACTTGTAATGGACTACTTCAGCAACTACATTGTGGTAGAGAAGGTGGGGGACACTTCTGCTACCAAAGTGATCACAGCTCTAAAAAAGGAGTTTGCTCGATTCGGCATTCCGGAAGTGGTCGTCCGTGACAACGGCCTGCCATTCAACTCTGAAGTATTCAGAGGGTTTCTGAAGAGTTGGGACGTGACGTATAACCCAAGTTCTGCTCATTATCCGCGGTCTAATGGACTTGCAGAACGGTCAGTTCAAACAGTAAAAAACAGCTTGACCAAGGCACTGAAGGATGGCAACGACCTGTCTCTTGTTCTTATGGAGCTTAAAGGGAAGATAGGGCACTTCTACATTTGAGAAAAAACGCTTGAATTGCGTTCATTTGGCCTTTAGAATAACAGATATAAAAATTATATTTCAATGCGACGCGCCGGAGAGCCATACGAGCAATTTCAAAATAGGACTGAAGCCCCGCCTCCCTAGCCTTGGGCAGCCAAAAGATCCGTCGATGACGTCACATACAGCGACTGTCTTTCGCCTTTTTCTCGCGTTACTTACGCAGAAAATGGTTTGGGTATTCAGGTTCACGGGGTAAAAATACACTAGAATTCACTTTTAACTCATTTTTTCCAAGAAGCTCCGTAGCTTCCCTTTAAGGACACACCAAAAGATCACCTACTGTCCCCAGCGGAATTACTGATGGGCCGCAGGATCAGAACCCTCAAGCCAGCTGCTCCGCAGAAGCTACAGCCTCACTACAACATCAAGGAGGCTCAAGCATGCCTTCAGTTCCACCCTAAGCGTCAGCACCGACATTGTGATGCACACAGCAAACCACTACGTCCTCTGACGTAAAGCAAGAGAGTATTTCCGTCAAAACCACAAATGGGAACCTGGAAGTGTGCTCCGAGTCGGACCACAGCCACGATTATACCTAATCAGAGCAGAAGACGAGGCTCATTATCGAAGAAATCGGTTACAGATCCGACCATTTGCTTGGAAAAGCAATGCAACCCCCAAAGACTACGACCAACTCGCATCCAACGACCAACCTCGCCAAAGTCCTGTTGAGCAGCACCGCATACCTGGAACCACTCGATCAGGCCATCAAGTTGTACTGCCAGCAAGGTATCGCTGAAAGTGTGAACTTTGAACTCTTAAAACTCACATAAACTTTTTATTTTTTGTCAAAGAAAACCAAAAAGGATGTGTTATGTATTTGGAGAAGTATGGTTAGTGGCGTAGGGTTAGTTGAGTCGCACATGTGCGACTCAACTAACCCTACGCCACACAACAGTTATGTGCCCGGTGTCGTTCCCGTTCTTGTGATAACGTTTGTCAACCAAAGACGTATCTATATTTACATGACTAAGTTGACTCGATTGTAAGTCAACTCCTTACATTGCACGTCACAAAAAGACAAAACTTTAGGGGCGCATTTTACGGCGAACATATGAGAATGGCAGGGTGTCTCTTCTGAAAGCACGGCTTCCAGCGCGCTTGATGCCTTCTGACATTCTTTGGCTGCGCATGCATGCGCAACGGTTACAAGATGCCCAATTGTTACTGAAGCTAGGAAGCTTGTGCTGGAGGCAGGACAACTGAAGCTGCTGTCTGTCGTTCTCACTCTGTCTGCTACTAGAGACTACGATTTGTCCGCACTAATGCTGTCATTCCCGTCGTCATCACTGCTTTGCTCTCAAAGCACGTCGTCGGCGTCGTCCAGCGAAATCTGGCACTTTGCAAATGATCGCATGAACCGCATCTTCCGCGCTTGCTCGGCGGTCGCGTTGCACGTCTTGGGTAGGCACCGATCGCGGATTTCTGCGACGTAGGTTGCAAGCCTGACCGCCTGACCTCGAACTCCGGAATGCATCCAGACCTATCCAGACTTTGACCCGTGGAAGCTTCTTTAGTTTACCGTCACTGTTAAGATCCTGCGCCATTGCAGACACCACTGGAGCACCACCCGCTCAGACAGGTCGAACTTACGTCCAATAGCGCAGATTTTGGTTGCGTTTGGATGAAGAATGGCCGAAACGAGCACCGAGAACCTAAACTGCTTGGATCAGCGTGTCAATACAGAGAAACATAGTTGGCACTCCAGTATGATCTCGACATTCAATCAAACAATGTGCAAATGTGAATCGTGCGAAAAAAAGCAGCAGCTAATGACGCTGGGTGAGGCTGTTCCAGCGGCCATTACGGAGTGACTCTTGCAGCAAGTGCCGCCACCCTCAAGAGTTGGGCGCACTGTGCGCCGTTCACCGCTGTACATTTGGGCTGATTTGCAAATCTCTACCAGTGGTACTCGCTCGCAAAAGAAAAGGTTTTGTAAAATGGGCTTACAGAATGGCGCAATGCTACAGGTACAGCCCACTGAACTCGTAACAAGCCAGTGTTCTTGATACTGCAATTGTTTTGTTTTTGTCGGCGGTGGAATGCTTTGGTTCGATTATAAGTCGACACCTCCACTTCAGATTCTCATTAATTGAAAAATGGGTTGACCTACATTTGTGTAAATATGGTAATTGGTTCATGTTCATTCAGGTAAAAGTGCCTCAGGAAAATGGGGATAAAGAAGAGTAGTAAGTTGGGCGAGTTGGGGATAAAGAAGACAAGACAGCACAGAGCACCATGTGCTGTCCTGCCTTCCTTGTTCCCGTTTTTCACTGAGACACTTCCATCTGAATAGTACAACTTACTGAATTTGGGTACACATAGTGGTGAAAGGTCAGCTTGAACATACAGAAATTAACAAAGAAACTAGCTCGACTAAAGCCTGAAATACATAACTTATGGAAATGCTCGCACCTTCTGAAGCTCTGCTCAGCAGGCTTGCAAGAATGAAATCAGCAAAGCAGTTCAGAATGTGCTGACCACTCATGCTCTCTGTGGAGTTGATCGTGGCAAACTGAAAGATTTTCGAGGTGTTCAATTGTCCTTAGTCCACTTTCTTAAGTAGGTCTCATTTCATTGACTCTAGATTGCTGGTCATTTGGGGGTTTCCTTTTTCCTTTCGTTGTAAGGTGTCAAGAGCTGCTAGAAGATATCAAAGACAAGTCAACCAAGCTTTCCTTTGCTAACATTTGCTTGGAGCGGATCGGGTAAGTAACAACTGCTCCCCTCAGAATGGCATGCAGCTCACGAGAGTACAGTGCACGCCACACTTCACTGGGAGGTATGTTAAGCCCGGAGTAGGTTACGAGACTTCTCTATTCATGCTTTCCAGCAACTTGGTTGCCACCTTGTAGGTTTTGAGCAAATCTTTGTGGGGGCCCGCTGCGGCCAGACGGGCTTGCCTTGTCCTTTCTTTCTCTCTCTATACATATACATAGAGTTTATGAAGCAGTGGTGTCTCCGGCGGGGATATTCTAAAAAAGTTGTATGTATATAGTTTTTTTTTTTTTAAGCTTTACATATTTGTTTAGAAAAACCCATGAAAGCTACACCTATGTAGTTTGTGCAGGCGAGTTATACGGCCAGGGGGACACAGTATAGGAGGCTAATCGTAATAATCAGTCAACTATTTAAGTATAATTTATTAATTAATTTTTCAATTGATGACAAAAGACATATGGTTCCATTTAGCAACTTGTTAAGCATCATCAAAAACTACTAAATCAACTCTTTTTAGGAAGATATAAGAAAGGGGCAGCATTTTCAGCATTCTGAAAAAATGCTCAGTTTGGACGCATTTCTAGGTCTCGGTTTCTTATCGGAGCACATCTTTACGCCCGCAGTCCTGCTTTTCGATGTTTGCGGCGCAAAGCCACCTCCTAGCCTCCCTTATAGAATGGAGGGAAGCAGGGCACATGTGTGTTGCGCGTCTCAGCCACTGGGGAGCAGGACTGCGGGCGATAAGAAACCGAAACCTAGAAACGCGTCCAAATGAAGCGTTTCTACAGAACGCCGTAAAATGCTGCCCCTGCATCACATCTTTCTAAAACAAGTGCCTCGGTGAAGTGCTATCAAAAGAAAGTTTGTGCTCGAGGCACAGCAGATACGGGATAGTTCCGACATAGGTCAGGTGGAGATGCATTCACCAAGATGTGTATCAATAAAACAGCGTAAAAAAACAAACGGACAATTGGAAGGCAGACACTGTTGCACTTCAGCAGAATGACCTCCCCGTGAAGTGCGACATCCCGACAGCTCTGTACGCTTCGAGTGATTGTTGGCTTTCTTTGCAGGACCGGGAAATGACCGCACCTAAATGTTGAACCGAACGCCGCTGTCGTCACGGTCGGCGGAGAACTTTTATTTCTCAGTGCGGGTATGGTCCAGCCCAGTCTGGTTGCTTATTGAGTTTTTGGGATTGAATAAAGCGTTTCTACCGTACCCACCCATCCGTTCCTGGAGTAAAATGTGCTATCATAGGGAGGTAATGGTAGAAATACGAGTTCCTGTATAGGCTCCCTACGGGAGCCAGAGTTGCGCGTTCATCTCCGTAGCGCCGTCTTTCCTGCACGGCATGTTGATCCCACTAGTCACGCGACTGAATTCGGCGAATAGCGGCGCCGCCCGTTCAAGGCGCACGGCACACTCAAAAGCAGGAGAACGTACGCCGGGGCGCGTGCAACGTCTACTTTCCTGCACACGGCACTTGACCGGCTCCTCATGTGATCAGATCTCAGCGAATAGCGGCGCGGCGGCACACGGAAAACAGACGCGCAACTCTGGCTTCCGTAGGGAGCCTATACAGGAACTGTAGGTAGAATATAATTTCCTTCTACGTTCATTTCCAACATGGTTAAAAATGGTTCGGTTCCTCCCTACCAATGCGGCTATAACAACCGAAATTTGCTGTAAAAAAAAAAAAAAAAAAGCTTTGGTTCCTTGTTACCATTGCAGGGGCTCGTAAAGGCTGGTTCACATACTTGCATTTGATTCCGACTGACTATGCCACAATTGGTCTTTAAGCCTCTTAAGACTGCTTACAACCAACCAGTATGGTTGGTCGTAAGCAGTTGTACGAGTCTCAAAAATGGCAAGCTTGATCATGCTGACGAAGACCAAGAAGCACAGAATGTGTCCCACACAAACCGCACACTTTTCTATTTTTTCCCCGCTAAGTTCTGCAGAGAAACTGACTGATTTTATTGGTCATGTGACGTTTACTTCGCCCTCTATACATGATGGGAAACTGGATTGACGTTTAGGTCACGTGACTATGGGTCGCAACATGAACTTCTCTGCTAGTGCATGGTGCAACGCTCCCAGCGTGTCGCTCGTGCTGACACAAAACGACCTATAGAACACACTCCAATAAAACTAGTGTTTAGCCTCTCCTACTGTAAGCAGCCGCAAGGATGGGCACCAGCTTTAAAGAGGTTGGTCATGCTCAGACAGGCTTCATCCCTCGCTTGGTTCAACAAAGCAACACTGTGTGCTGTGCTTCAACTTTACTATGAGCTTATTTACAAATGAACGGGCGGGACGCCCTGTGACTTCACGAGAAGCTGGCAATGACGTTAAAGAAGTGGAACACCTCGTCCTGGTCCACAACTGCCACCTCAGTCTTGCACACTCTGCAGCGGACGGGGCGGAAGAGGTCGCGGGGGTCGTCTGCCCCGCCGCCATTTTTCTTCCGCTTGGACCGGGACGGCGGGCACTTGAGGACCTCAGTGTCGGACACGACGCAGTTCTTTACGAACATGGCGCGGTACTGGGTGTTGTAGATCTCGTGCCTGCGCCCAAAAAAAAAAAAAAAAAATAATGTGATACGTCGGTTAGGGGTGAACACTGGTTTTGGAGCTTTCTTTCTCATATTTTGGCCAAGCCCAATGAAACAGCACAGGCTTGTTCAGGCTTTTGCAATTATTTCAAATATCTTATTTTTGTTTTAATTAGTAGGTTAGTTCTCAAGATAATTATAATTAAACAGACTGCTTCCAAAAACAATACTTAAAAACTATTTTTTAAAGAAGAATTTTTTTTAACATATGGTCGGATACTATCAATTATGAAGAATGGAATGTTGGAAGCACTTTTTAGATTAAAACCATTATTAGTGACTTTACAACACATTGGAGATCAGTGCTCAATGTGTGGCTACCAAACAATAAAACATTAGTTCAGTTTTAAACTTTCCTATACATATATTGAAAAACCTGCTTCCAACATTGCATGCTTTGCACATTTAGCCACATGCTGCCAAAATTTACATTTCTGTCTGCCCCAGAAGCTGAAAATTTGTAAGGAGTCCAAAATTTGCATTTTGAGAAAGTGTTTTTTTTTTTTCATCAGTTCCAGTGCAATTTCAGTCCACATGGATATTATAAAGTGATATTATGGCTCGTATATTAAACTTAATAATAAGAAATGGCAGATCAAAAGAAAAATAGCTGTAGATTTAAAAATCGCCATTCTCCAAAAATTAGCTTTTAGGGATTTATTTTTTGTTCCAAAGACCTATGTCTCCTTTTAACTTTGCTTGTTACATGAGTGCGGGACATCCGAAGTGGATCTTTAAGGAGTATTCACACGAGGGAGAAATCCCTCGGATATCTCCCTCGTGTAAATACCCCTTAAAGCTCGTCGCAGCGTTCCGAGTTGATTGGGTGAAGACTAACATGAACCCTAGACTGCTTTCCTGATGACATGTTTACCTGAAGATATACTTTCTGACCATGCTGTATTTCACTTCCGCTATTTTTATTTGTGACGTCGCATGAAATGTAACTTGACTGAGATGCAGTGGAAGGCGGTAGCATAACCACATAGGCTTGGAATCTGTGCTGCACTTGTGTTTGTAAATACGAGGCAGTTGTGCAGGAACCAAGCCTGTGTGCTTGTAATTGTCTGCAGTCTTGCAAGTGACGTACCCATTTCCCCGACTCTCCACGTTCTGCCCGAATTTCCTGACATGGCAAGGCTTTCCACGTTTTCCCTGCTGATACATGACCTGGTAAAGTACAGTTACTCACCTCTGACAGTCCAGGCAGAGCACACTCATGCAGGCGGGGCAATTCAGGACGGCGTCGCTGGTAGGGAGGGGCCTTACGCCGTTCGCCGCATCTGCCTTGCTGGACGTTGAAGCGTCGGGGAACATGCAGACTCTCCGCTGTTCGTTCACCCACTTCTCGTCTTCGTCGTCCATTTCTGGGTCATACAGTAGGTCATCGTTGCTTGGATCTGTGTTGCCGGCTTTGGAGCTGCCTCCTCCTGAGCCGTCTGCTTTGGAGCCGTCCGCTTTGGAGCCGTCCGCTTTGGGGCCGTCCGCTTTGGGGCCGTCCGCTTTGGGGCCGTCCGCTTTGGGGCTATCGGCTTTGGAGCCAGCTTTTTTGCTGTTGTCTGCCGTCCCATCTGTTTTGACAAATGGGATGGTAGACAAATCAGAACCCAGTTAAGGGAGCTTGACTTAAGTTCCAAGCTGGCTAGTCATATGTGTTAGTAGGTCAAGTAAAAATGAAGAGCAGCAAACCACCCATGATGACTTTTGTATCAAAAGCTTCTACGTGTACTAATAAAGCGATACATTTTAGAGCGCAGCTCTTAGGGGCCCGTTTCCGGCTTGAGCGGCGTCGCCGTCGGCGTCGGCGTAACCGCGCGCTGCATCATGGGAAATGTCCCATAATGCACCGCGCGAGCCCCCCACCAAGGTCACGTGACCTCGTGGGGGTCACGTGACCCCCCGAAGTCACGTGGCCCCCTCCTCGAGGTCACGTGACCCCCGCCGATGTCGCGTGACCCCCCGATGACGTCATCGTCACTGATGACGTCACCGGCATCCACATCGTCATCGTCATCCTCACTGATGACGTCACCGGCATCCACATCGTCATCGTCATCATCACTGATGACGTCACCGGCATCCACATCGTCATCGTCATCACTGATGACGTCAGCGGCATCCGCATCGTCATCGTCATCATCACTGATGACGTCACCGGCATCCACATCGTCATCGTCATCATCACTGATGACGTCACCGGCATCCACATCGTCATCGTCATCATCACTGATGACGTCACCGGCATCCGCATCGTCATCGTCATCATCACTGATGACGTCACCGGCATCCACATCGTCATCGTCATCATCACTGATGACGTCACCGGCATCCACATCGTCATCGTCATCACCACTGATGACGTCACCGGCATCCACATCGTCATCGTCATCATCACTGATGACGTCATCAGTGACGTCACTGATGTCGTCACCGGCATCCGCATCGTCATCGTCATCATCACTGATGACGTCATCAGCGACGTCACTGATGACGTCACCGACATTCGCATCGTCATCGTCATCATCACTGGTGAAGTCATCAGTGACGTCACTAATGACGTCATCGGTACCCGCATCGTCATCGTCACTGATGACGTCATCAGTGACATCAGTGACGTCAGTGATGACATCATCGGCATTGGGGGTCACGTGACCCCCAAGGTAACGTGACCCCCCCCCTGGTTAGTTTAACCCCCCCCCCCCCCCAGTGCCCTTCCCTCCTCCTCCTCAAGAGCTGCGCTCTAATTCGGCGTTACAGGGAGTTGTAAGCGGCTTTCATTTTTTTTAGGTGTGCCGTGAATAAAAATTTTGTATGATTGGAGTAAGCACTGAGTGCGACATAGCACCAGGCGCAAACTATCCAGAAAAAATTATTATTTTCTTTAACCTAAATTTACTTTAGCTGATTATGCGATGGGCGTGGACTGTATTTCGGGAAGTATGGTAATCAAGCTTGAACTGCGCAACTCTGTTAATGGAACAAAAAAAAAAAAGGCCGACCTTTTGAGACTGGAGTTCGATTTGTACCAGCTTTGCCGTCGCAGCCTTGTCGATCAGCGTCTCCGTCGTTCAACACATACCGATGCTCAAAGTCCCTGAAGGTTTGCAAGAGCTCGTCCTGCATCTGTTTCTCAAACGTCTCTTCGGGTGCATTCTGGGAGAGGTATTTGTTCCTCACGTAGGACTGAAAAGCATCTTCCGAGCTGCAAACAGAAAACAAGAAATATTCACAATACAAGCGACTAATTTTATTTTCGCTGGAAAGAAAACACGCCAGACTGTCCTTGTTGGAAACCTGTTCAAATAAAAACATGGTGCTGTGGAAGCTGGTTGGACCACAAGAAAGTTGGTTTTATTATACTGATAGTTGTTATGGAGGCTTCCCAGCTGTATTTGCAAAGATGTCCTAATAAAAAAAAATCGGTCTTATTAGATTATGTGATTACATCCAACCAGAGTATATTGCTCCTTGGCCTAGAGATGGCTGGCGCGCTCGGCGGAGGCTACAATGGGCTGGAACAAAACACAGTTGAAAGGTACCTGTCTCGATTTAGTCTTGGACGGGGACGCTCACTTGTGAGCAGTGTGTTCCCTTTCTTACATTCTTTAGTGACCACAAGGCTGTGTTGCGTGTGCTCAAGTAGGTAAATACTGAGTATGTATAGAAGTGTGTTTTACTTTGCGCAAAAACTGCTGTTACTGTAGGGAATAAAACAACAAACTAACGAACTTTTAAACCTTTCGTTGGCAAGAAAAAAAAAAAAGGTGTTTGTTGAGCACTTCATTTCATTTCATTTATTAATCCTTAAGGGTCCTCTGTCGAGGACATTACTGCTAGTAGAACTAGGACACAAAAAAGACCGCATCAGAAAGTCTCGTTTTGCAGATTTTAGATAACTCGTCTACAAGCAACAATGCTTAGCGTGACCGTGTGTCTGGGTGCGGCTGATTCTGAACGCACAGATAAGTCAAGAACTATTTTACTCAGCTATGCCCGACCGAGTAATCGCCTAATGAGTTGGCCTCATATACCTGTGATCAAATCTAATCTCGATTCAATGAAAACTGCGCAGGTAACGCTAAATCGTGACACCTTCTGGAGTCGAGAAACCAATCCATGTAGTAGCTGAGCTCACCTACTGTCGCTGTCATAAGCGTCACTGTCGTCACTGTCTTCGACGTGATAATCGTTATACTCCATGGTGATCTACAAAAGAACCACACCAAGGCAAATTCGTACACCCTACAATTTCGGCGATCTGCGATCGCGCTACCTGCAGCACACAACCGCTGCCATGTTGCTTGGATTGAATTGGAACTTGGATTTATGTTGTTGACACGTTGAGAACGCTGAAAAGTTTGTCCCCATTTTCAGACGACTCAATCTAAAGTTTCTTTATTTTAAACAACTCAAATATAAACTAGCTGAATAAGAAAAAATAATTTTCGCATTATTGTATTTGCCACACAAGCTAGATTTGCGCCGCCCGGTCGGTGTCAGGGGCACAAAACGTGAATGCGCGCACTGCCTTTCCCTAAATACCTGCACACCGGGCGGCACTGTACAATAAAAGTGCAATACAATACAATACAATACAATACAATTATGCCACAGCCTAATTCACCTAATTCACAAAAAAAAAAAAACAGCAGCCGGCGTGAATTTATGTATTTTTTTAAGTAGCTCTTTTATCCAATCCAAGCCAAGCCAAGAAAAGAGTGAAAGCGAAAGAAGCGGAAGGAGGTTTTTCCGAGGAGGTGAGCTTGCGTAGTTCTTGTTTGATGATGCATGCTCGAAAATAACGGTGGCTGTGTGTATTGTGATTGCCGAGCGCTGTTCTCTTCGCTAGCGCGGGCGTGTCCTCGAAATGCTGCCGTCTACGTAGCCGGATCAGCCACGGAAACATGGAGCCAAACAAACGCTTCTGGGGGGAACTGTTCCCGACCAAATTGAGCGCGGCGATTTTCGTGGCTTACATCGGCTTCTTCATCAACCACGGTAAGGGCGTCTGCTATCTTCAGGAACGGTTCGTCTGCTCTTTCGAAAGTCAGCTGAAACTGAACACTTCCCAGACAGCGTAGCTGCGCCTTTGACAACATCGTTCGCAGCAACGCTTGCAGCAATTCGAAACAGAAGCTTGGAATCGATTTCCATCGTACCTTGAAAAACACTCGCGCAGGTTTTGACTTGTGTTAGGTAATTGTTGAACATTACTTGCCGACTTTAACGAGAGGTCAGTTGTACTTCAACGTTTTTTGACTTCATTAAGAATAATTCATTTTTTTTTTTTTTTTTTTTCAGGTATTCTAGTCACAGCAACCAAAGACAAAAACAACAAGTATGACTACAACATAACGACTGTGGTTATGCTTACAGAATGCCTCAAGCTCGTAGTTACTACGTTGATTTTTTTAAAAGAGTAAGTGATGTTCACATTCACCCTTCCCCCCTTCCTTCCCCCCCCCCCCCCCCCCTCGCCCTCCCCCCCTCTCAATGAGTTAAACATATTCCACGGTATATCAGGACAAATTCAGATCATGCTTGGATAGAGATAGGTATTTATTTGTATGTTTAGGTACAGGGCACATAAAAGGGTCTGCCACCCGCACAAATGTGCCTATGCAGCTGGCTTGAAGTAGACAATGATGGTGATGTGAAGGTTGTTGGCTTGATGCATGCATAATGTTGATGGGATGGCGAAGAATGTGAAAGGTGAGGTGGGTGAAGTGAAGTATATATATTCAGCATATCAACAACATAATGCCATATTTTCTTTCACTCGTTTGAAACTTCGTAAACCACATCTGCCGTTTGCATTTCATACTACGACAGTCCAGATCGTGTTCTCAAACACTCGAGTCTTCAATGCGCATGTATTTTTTGCAGAAACATGCTACGAAAATTCAATGAAAGGCCTACAGTAACCGTGCATACAGTTCAAATTATTGTTGCAAGAACATACATTAAAATGCCAGATAAAAGACAATGTTACGGAGCTTCTGGGTCAGCACTACCTGCAGACTGACAAGCTCGACTATTACATGTTTAAATTTTTCTGCACCTGTACCAGGTTGTCTTTTTTCCCAAGGCAGAAGATGTTACGGAATCTCAATGCGAAGGGTATGTTTTGTACCTGACATTAGCTTTAGCCCATTCTTAGACAGGCTATTACGTCAGCACTGAAGGTAGCGGACGTGACCTGGCCCCTTGCTCAATGCCGCTTTGAATGATGTTGCGAGAGGTCAGCTGTCATTTATTTTTTGTATGCATCATCTTTTTATCCTTCGTACGAGACAGCCACAGACCACTAAAGTAAGAAAATAGCAAGATGTTGCAAGGAACAAAGTGGTGACAGAGAAAAGTAAAAACATATGCGAAATGAATTACACGAAGCTACTGGTTCTTGTAAGTTCTGATGTGCTGTTGCTCTGTGTCAAGAGAAAATTAATGCGTAGGGTGACCCGGAAATGCTAGCTAGAGTTTTCTGTGGCAGGAATTCCACAAAAACGGTTGCTTCACATGCGAGAGAAAAAAAATACCAATTATGCACGGATGATTTTTGTCACAAACTCTTTTTAATCTTCTGCTACAGTGTTTGAGGGGTTTATTTTCACAGCATAATGTTAGACTTCCATAGTTTCTCTGAAGACGAAAGGTGTAATTTCTTGTTGTACTTTGTTATCTAAAAAGAAATTAACACTTTTTGTTAGGTTTTGGGTTTTTAATTCAAATCAACTTCATACCATCAATCTTGCAAAACTTGCTTTAAAAACCGTCCTATTTGCAGTCTTGCTCTCCCTAGGCGGCAAAAAGTTTAGAATACAGTGGGAGCTCCGCCCCCGGTGCAAGCTTTTTATATTCTATAATACTTTGGTGCATGCACAGCCAAAGCATGACGGAAGGCAACAAGTTAATTCTGTAAATGGAGCTTTTATTGTATTCTTAGCTGGTCTCAAGTATATATATATATATATATATATATATATATATATATATATATATATAATGAAGCTGGTAACAAAAATGACACTTTTGTAATTATCTTGTTCAGTGTGGAATGAATGTCCTCCCCTGACTATAGCTTGTTTAGATAAAAAGAGTTACAATTATTTCATCTGAAGCTACATTCATTGTGCACTGTCACATAAAGTAGTCTTTTTGACTGTCGGCTATGAACCACTCTTTCCTTGAGTATTCACAACTCCGACCGTCCACAGGTGGCACCACTAGTTTCCAAAATGGCGGGTATACCGAGGGTCGCAGATTCCTAAAGTATGCGAGCCTGATTTAGTGTGTGACGTAATTTATTCTTGCTGCTGCGAGCAAGCCGGGGTTATTACGCAGGCATGGCAGCTCTTTTTGTGCTTGGCAACCGCCAATGATTGATCACAACGTCAGCTTATTAGTCGTCTGTAGTAGTTATTTAGTTGCAGAATCTGTTACGACCTCGTTAAAGTTCTGAGTGAGCGCACCCACACATGTGGTGGGAGAAAGCACAGGAAACGAGGGGGAAGGAAGCACATGCTTTGGAGGAAATTGGGAGTCGTAAAACAGCCAGCAGAGTCAAAGCTGGTGTGTGTGACGGCAAGATGTGCAAACTTCACATTCCGGTCTTCCCAGAGTACTTTGTCGTGGCTTTTTCTTTCAAAAGACACGCTGTGGACATCGACGTTTGTGCTGTCGAGGCACGGAATGCGTACTGAGTTCATCTGTGCAATGTTGCTGTGAATCGCAATGCTCGATCGAGTACATTCTATGTTACGACTGCCTTTGCCGCGATAGTGTAGACTAGAGACTAATTTTCTTTTTTAAATCATTAGCATGGTGGTTATTAAATGGGTGACCACGGGCCCTTTGAGGTCCCTGAAGGTTTTCTTGGGGCCTCTGAAGCCATCAATCAGCAGTCAAGCCAAGCAATAAACCTTTCTTCGTTTTAATTATTGATGATGACTGTTTTACAAAGATAAATAGACCAAACCATATGTGCCAAGGTTGACTATTCTCCTATTTCAAAGCTTTAAAGTTTGTTTTCATGCATTTGGTTTTTTTTAAATTTACCTTTTTGTCATTGTAATCATTCAGTACTGCTCCCTCTCCCGCGGAGAATGGGGTCCTCTATCACTTCTGCCGATTCATAAGGGTCCCGAAGCAAATAATGTGTGCCATCTCGTTTCGCCAGAAAGTGTTTGCAAAACTGCATGCATTGGGAAGCATTTTTCGGGAAAAGTAATGTGGTGGCGTTGATGAGTCGTTATTGAACTGCTCACTTCGCACTGAATAAAAAAGACAACGACTGTTCTCATAAAAAAAAAACATTAGAGACAAAAGCGAGCAAGAAATGTGGTTTTATCAATTCACGGCACCACTTCATAAAAGAATACAGGGCAGCTCAACCGGCCTATAAATCCCCTTTTTTTTTGTTGTTGATTCTTGAAAATGGCTGAAGCATTTCCAAGAGTCAACGACGGGGGGAGGGAGGATCTGCCAGGTCTTGAAAGTTTAGGTTATTTCAAAGAATCAACGTAAGAAATAATTGCTTTTTCTTTTTGATGCAAGAAAATATATTTCTTATATAATTTTATTACTGCCGTAAAAGTTCAAGGCATGGCTTTCATACACCGAACGGGTAAAATAGAATGGGTGCAGCTGTTGAGAAAATTGGGATTCAATTTAATGTTTTTTTTTTATCTTTGTTTGCTCGGTAGCCTTTTTTCACTAAGAATATTTTCATGGGAGATAAAGAACTTCAGGTATTTAATGTGCCCTCCATAACATTTCAATGTGATGCATTTCTTATGGCATAACTCCTAACACAAAACAAAAAAAAAAAAAGGAAATGAAAATTTTGCTAAGTATTGTCAAAGGTGCAGAGTTAAGGATAGTTTCACGAAACATAAAGACTAAGAAACTGCGCTCCAACTACGTAAGCAAGCTGTTTGCAACTAAGAAGTTCCATAAAAATTATTTTTACTGTGGACGAGTAACCTTTAGTTTGCAATGGACTTCTTCCAAAACCGATGCGCCCCATCGCGGCGAAATACCACGCAGTGCACTCTGGGAACTAGTTGGCCGCTCAGTTTCGGTTTCAATTGAGCAGCTTCATCTCATGCTATCACGCCGCGACCGAACGCGCTGCTTGCGTTTTCGATTATCTGACTTTTCACGAACGTACAATACACTCATTCTCGAGCGATACAAAACGAAGATTGGGGCACTTTTCTTGGTTCCCGAAACACCGGATATTATGAGTGCGTATGCAAACGTAGTAAGACGTGGCTTAGTCACCTCACCCAACGAGTGCATCTTTGAGTTCAATTTTAATAATCCCGCCTAGTACCAGTGAACTAGAACTGAAATTTGTTCACCTGGAGCCTTTCACCTATTTTGTTTGCCAAACGACCGCTTCTTGTTACTTCATTGGGCAAAAAGCAAGCCGCATTCTCACAGGAGTATCAAAGTTGAGCCCAGCGTTGACGCATGAACTTTTAAGGAAACGCAATAAATTCGACCTCGCTACTGCACAAAAGTTACTATGATGCCTTCCTCGTGTCATCATATATCTCCCACTCAAATTTTATGCTGATAGAAGATTAAGTTTTTGCAAACGCTGAGATCGGCTAGCTACGACGGAGGCCCTAACAAGCGTCCCCTACTCCTCGCTAAGCCTTTTTGGGCGAGCTTTTACTTATGCCCAAGATCTGTGCCTGAACGGTGTGTCTGAAATTATCTCGACATACTCAGGCAGGAAGAAAGCAAACACATAACAAATATTATGGCCATTAGCAACTGTCAAACGCGCTTTGAATAATTTCGTTCGTTTGGCGCACCGCATAGGGGCTCTTGCCCGTCCGGCGCACTCCCGGCGAACGGTGCGACATTCTTCACACAAGTGCTCGACCTTTGCTTTCTAAAAATGGTTTGTATGTGCGAATGTGCCTATGTGATTGCAGGATAACTTTATGCGCATACGCCATGTTGAACATTAGTGGAATGCAACCTGGTGGGGACCTCACTTCGTGCAGTGCTGCGAGTCAGTACAGATAAGAGATTAGAAGTGTGTTAAAATTGAGCTTTTCAATGGCGCCTCCGAGTTTTACCTCGCGTACTCAGGCGTATTAAGAAAAACAGTAATTGCAAAAAGTGATTTTTCGTCTATGGACGCACGAAACAAACAAACTTTCTGATGAACAATACTAATGTAAAGGCGCGAGCTCGATGTATGCATACTTATTGGTTGCTACAGCTTGTTGGTTCGTACATAGGCAAGATCCCCGAGCTTCGCAGCGTCGAGATTCCCAGCACTGGCTCGTCCACATACCTCGATTGGAACGCTAACAGAAAGGCTCAAGTACAAAAATACAACAAGCATGAGTTAAGACAAACTATACGTCGCGGGCTTGTCTAAAGCTTCAAGGTCTGGCCATTTAGGTTAGTTTAGAGACCACAAATGACGCTCTCGGGACCAGAAAACATGAAATAACGGCCGTTAATAGTCCACGCTCTGTGTATAATCTTTTGCCGACGTGTCAATCGAAACCGAAACCATGCCACCCTCCTCCCTGGCTGGCCAACTAGTTCCCAGAGTGCAACGCGCGCCGTGTTGCATGTAGGGCTTTATGGAAGTAGTCTATTGTTCCTAGATATGCGACCAGTTGCGAAGACATTGGGAATATGCTTGTTTGAAGGTAACGATGTATGGAGCCGTTTACTACACCTAACTTGATGGCTGTCTTGAGAATGATCTTGAAGCTTATATAATACATTAAAAACACAAATAGGACATTTTTAAAGGCTCAGCTTTTAATTACAAAATTTTGTAACTTTGGGTTTTATTGGTGGCCTTATCTCATCACTGCAGATTTTATTCTGACAATAAAATGGGGGTCCTTTAATACTTAGCTCTTCAAGATTTTATACAATCTACTTTTATGATGTCATCTCAAATTCCTTGAAAAGCTATGGCGATCCAAAATTACGGTCACGACTTGCTGAGTGCTGTACCTTTAGTTAATGCTATAAAATCAGTGAAAGCACTAAGCCATTTAAAAATGCTATTGATTAGGGATAAAGACATCTGGGGATGCTTTGAAATGGGCAACTGATGACGATTGGCAAAGCCTGCTAGATTGCTGCCACTCCCACTGTACCAAATCAGTAAAAAAAAAGAAAAGGTTTATGTTTAATTTACAAAATTGCTTGAAACTTGTTTTATTCAAATCTTTAGCACCATTGCTCTGCCAGTCACAGCATTTCCAGTCCGAAGGGATTCATTTTCAGACTACACGGCTGATCGCTGAGACATGTTTTGTTGGTGTTGTAAAACCGGCAAAACAATCTGTGTGCTGCAGCACACAGATTGTTTTGCCGGTTTTAGTGAGATACTGAAGAACACTGTCCACATTCAGGAATAGCGGTTTGTGAACAACAATCTCTAGGAGTTCCGCTTGATCACGAGCACTTAATGCCTGATCACGATCAGTTCAAACTAATCATGGGCATTTCTGCCTGATCAGGGCCAGTTCTGTCTAACCATGATCAGTTGTGCCTGATCGTGAACAACTGATCAGAAACAATTCCGTCTAATCACAATCAGTTTTGCCTGATTGCGAGCAAGCAGCGCTGCCTGATCACAAACAGCTCTGCCGTGACTGCTGAGCAGGGAAACGGAGGAACCCTCGCTAGAGTGCTTCCCCCCACCGCCACAAGAGGGCGATCACAAGCTGGAGTCGCAGTTGACAGTCTGAACGGTGTGCGTGACATACGAGAAGATAGCAGCATGACACCAACACATAAATATACAAAATATTTTTATCGGTTGACTTTCAGAGTAAATGCATGAAATTGCGAAAACCTATTTTAGATAACATAGTTAAACGTATGTCTCGCACGAGTCATCGCGAAACTAAAAACGACAACCAAGACCTATACGTCGTACAATTCCTTACCTCGACTGGGGTGCTCATGCAGGATAACAGCTGCTTCATCTTGGGAAAGTGCAACAAGTTCCTTGCATCCCACTTTTATTAAAGCATAAAATGCTTTTTAATGAAGCTCCCACCCCCCAATCCCCAAAATTTCGAATTTAATTTTGTGAACTTTTTATACTTTGGAGATCTCTTAAAGCTTTTGAGGTGTCCCCTTTGTCCGTAAAGGCAAAAAGTTGGCCATAAATCTTGCACCACATGTGTGCAGGTGTCACCGAAGTAAATGTACAAAGTGACTAACAACAAGTTTCAGCCAAACCTCTACAATAAGGGATACAAGAAAAAAATTAATGTGATTGCAAAAGAGAAAGAGAATGCTTCTGGAAGAGGCAATAACTCCCTTTTAAACTTTCTTTCTTCGCACACCATTAGTAATAATAAAACTGTCACTGACAGGACGAAAAGGGCAATGCCCTTCCAATGCCCCCAGCACATATTCGTTACCCACCTCCGTGCTTTGTCTGCTCAGGCACACTCAAGGTTCATGAGACGCCAAAGCCTTATCAAAGGTAGGAAGCTCAAGCTGGAGGCAGAATAGCACAGGACCACGCTGCCATTCTCATTGTATTGGCGACTACAGGGCACTGCCGTAAAAACCAACACATTCGGCACGCCTCGCAAATTTTTAATTCCAAAGGTACATACCTGAAATTGGGCATGTGAACATATGTTTTGCCGGAAGTTTTATGTCTGTTTTTTTTAAAGCTGAATTCCAAGGTGGTAAAATATTAGAAATAGAGCAAGAATGGCGGTCATGCGTTTCTTATGCCCTATTTTGGATGTTCGTCGTCTGCACACTGGCTTGTGAGCTTGCTTTCAGGTGGTCATAGTTCACGTATTTCGTTAAAAGTTTGTAATTACCGCGATTATCTCGCTTATTGCCACCCTCTAATTTGGGTTCCTAGCATTTTAGCGTTCAGCAAGCCACCCGGGAGAGAGCTCATAAACCAATGTGTAGACGACAAACAGGCTGGTATAGGACATAGAAAATACACGGCCTCCGATTTTGCTTTATTTTTAATATTTCACTACCTGTGGGTTGAGCTCTGAAGAAAATATACATAAAACTTCTTGCGAAACTATGTTCGCATGCCCAGTTTTAGGTATGGACGTTCGGCATTAAAATTTTGAAAGGCGTGTGAAATGTGCTGGTCCTTACGACTGTACCCTGTGTATATGTCCAAGACCCTGTAAAGGTTCTTACTAATAAATTTTTGGACTCGCAGCACGTTATGAATATTGGGTATTGCAATAATAAGCTTCGTAACGATAAAGAGAGACGGGTCCAGAAAACACAAGAACGAGGCCTTGAAGATCTGCAATCTGTACCAGGAAAGAAAAAACTCGAAAGAAACAAATTACAAAAAAAGAAAATAAACTGGCAACCGGAATAGTTACAAAAAGCAGTCGTTTTTTTTTTGTTTTTTTTTTTTCAGTTTGATTTAATTCAAGGTGGCGATGGGGTGTCATCGTCATCTTGGTGACTGTGAGGTTGTATCCGGGCGAAGTGATGATGGAATGTCTTCGGGCATGGATGAGACAGTGCCCTTCTAGCCCTCGACTTGGCAGCCCAGTCCTGGTTGAGAGCATGTCCCAAGCGCCCAGTCCTCGCTGCCGGCCGCCGGCTGTTCCGTCTTTTCCCGCTCATTCACGTGCACTTCTTCTCCCTCGTTCTGTCTTTTCATCACATCATCGCAGATATTCTAATTCACAGGCACCATACCATTGCCTGTGTGTGGTGATGCCGCAGCCATGTTTACCGACAGTAAGGTCCTGGGCACCCTGGAGTTTGGCTTTAGTGTGATACCCAGCCTGCGAAATCTGCGTAGCGCTGCTAAATTTTGGTTTCGGAGCAACACTTTCCACTTATGCTGTGAAGTCTGCCGCATCTTAGGATGTTAGGGCAAAGCTTGCTTGTTGAGCTACAAGACCCACCAAGCGTGTTACTGCCAAAGAGTTTCGATACAATAGTGTCCGCTTGTTGTCATTCAGGGTACGGTGACATGCCCGAACGTACATGCACACACTTATGGTGAGGCAAAGCCAGATATTGTAGCTCTGCCGGATACTGGATACTATTTATATTTTTATCAGAAAGTACCAAGCTTTTGCAAACATTTGGTAACAAATCTCAGTTGAAATTGTGGAATAGCCCATTCAACAGCCTTTCTTTTCAGCGATATAACAAAGTTTTTGAAGGATACATGAATAAATTTTGCATTGCCATCTCACATTTGCTGTTTTGTGAAAATTAACTGTTTTGTGAAAAATGAACAAAACATCTTTTTTTTTGCTGCAAAAATCAAGTGTGCTTTTCGAAACGACTTGCTGGCAGTCAGATTTCTTTCTTCTAGTGAGAGAAGTGTAACACTTCTCACATGTGAGTGCACAACAGGGATAAAATGACATTGATCGCTTATGCTGACGGATAGCAGCTGAAAAATGTCCTAAAGACAGGTTTTCTGTTGCATTGCAGTCACTCCTTCAATACCCTTATCAATGAAGTCATCAAAAACCGCAAAGGTAGGCGCACAACTCCACTGTAGGGGAGTCGAATGATCCTACAGCTTTCTTAATGCAGAAATTTGTGCAGATTATGTTAAATACAGCACTCTAGTACTTAAATTGAGAGCATCAACTTACTGAGCTACTGCATTCTTTGTCTTTCACAATAAAGAAGTTGTTTTTCACTGTAAATAAAATAATATATAATTTCACTGTTGCACGTTTTCCTAAATTTTGTGTCGTTTGTTATATAAGTCTTGTTTCGAGATGTGGCTGCCTTTATGATGGGTGTGCTTGAATATTCTAATTTCTGATTTTATGTAAATTGGGACTGCTTCTCATGTCCGACGGTCAGCCTCGAATAATAGAAGTCCGACATATTTTGCAGTAATGGATAACTTGCTGATTTACGGTTATGATATTTTATACGAGATTGAAATTAAGAAGGCAGAAACATTAATCATAGTGTCTATCCGGTTGGAATCTTGTCGAACAGAAGGGGCGTGTGACATTAGTTGCATTGTCTAGCCGTAGGAACTCTGTCAGTCTGATCACACTTGGAGTGCCTGCTGATCAGATGGGCATACTGCGTCCAACAGTCTGTTGTCTGTAATGCACTGCAGTACTCCTCCTGTACTTCGTGCCTGCACTGCTGTACTGCTTCTACAACAACCTTGCCTTCATCAACCTGGCTGCATTTGACCCAACCACCTACAACCTGCTTCTCCAGTTCAGGGTTGTCATCACGGGCCTGCTGTTTCAGGTGCGATCCTGAGGGGCTTCTCCGAGAAGTTGGGATGTTGGATTGGATGACATTGAATTAGTGGCATTAGATTGGATTGGATTGAATGAAATTAATTGAATTACAAGCACCGAAGCTGTACTCGGCATCAACTATTTTGTGCTACATTGTCAAGACTTGCACACCTTCCGCAGTGCTCCGACGCCGTCAAAGCTACTTGTGAGAGCGCGTGCAAATGAGACAGGATGAAGCCATATGCTCTCTTCTGAATGCTGAGCTACAGCACTGTGAAAGCTATGCTAGCCTTGACAATGTAGCGCAAAACAGTTGATGCCGAGGATAGGTTTGGACGATTTCGACTTATAAACGATTTTATTCTACAAAACATTCTTTGATACGAGCCACATCTTCAATAACTATAACAAAAAAAGAAAACTGAGTGTACTTTTTTTTTAAATTTGTTTCGCGGGTTTGTTGCGTAAGGGGCAGAGATAAAGGCGTAGTGCCTGATGAAGCCTCTGCCCTCTAAAGTTCAGCAGCTCAAAATAGTTACACAATAACAATTCTACAGAACATTACACAATTACAAAAAAAAGCAAGTTAATGCCAACTAGGGAAAATAAACACTACATCGATTTGGTAAAGAGAACAATATAAACATCTGGTAAGAAGCGTTCACGGTTTGGTCATCTGTCCTCGGTGAAGCTGATGACGTTGAGGTGAATATTGAAGCCACATTGTGGCCTCCCGGTGGGGTGACCAGGTGCTCTTCAAGAAGACGCTGAGTCGGAGGCAGTGGCTGTCCTTGCTGTTGCTGACGGGAGGCTGCGTGGTGAAGCAGCTGGGACTTCCTTCAGGAGCCGCCTCATCGGGATTGGTCGGCTCATTGTTGGACACCCTGTTCAGTGTCCACATGCTCCTTCTCCTTGCTCAGGTGGTTTTCCCTGTCACTTTGTCAGAATCTCAGGGTCTCAATTTCTGCGGAGATTATGTGTCTTCGATATACCCTCTTCAAAAGTGCCCACCGTCTAGCAACTGTTGTGCCAGCTATCCGAGTCCACCACTGTTTGGGCACATATACTGTGAGCCTGTATTGGGCAGGAGGATCGCATCGGCATTTGGCGTGAACTTGGCTCGGCTTGTATTGAAAACGAGTGCTGCGCCAGTGTGTGGTGAGAACTCTGATCAATCGCACGCTTCATGACCAGGAAATGGCTACCGCCAATGTTGCTCGATGGGGTTTTGAAAAAATTCTATGGAGAACCTATTGAATCTAGCACAATGTGGCCTCCACAGCTTTTGTGCCATAAAGCCTGCAAATCATCATCATCATCAAAAAAAAACTAGAGACCCCGAGCTGCTTGTTCCCAGCAGACTGCCGTATTTCGTCGCACCTGCTGTGGAAAGAAGAAATCTCGGTGATTGGTCACGTACAGCCATATGATGCCACTTAACTTGGTTATCTGAGCTGCAAGGTTTCAAATGCAAATATCTGTACAAAGTGAGTTGTAAATAAGATGTATTCTCATTCGTATGGTATTATCCTAAAGCATGATCCCTTGTCAGATGCAAACTCCTTTGTTTTTGCTCATAAAGGATGTTAATGGCACAATTTAACAAAGGACAAGAAATGCACAGATACGCAGCTGCTTTTACAGGGTGAGAACAACGCAGTGTCTATGCACTTCCTGTTCCTTGTCCTTTGTAAAATCGCACTGTTTCCTCCCAGTAAGATGATCGACCATTGCAACTCACCCAACTTTCTGTCTGTTGTTTTCATTCGCAATGCTATGCACTTTATTGGCGTTATTCTTGAGTTCAGAATGGATGCACGACGAGGCACGTCGAGCACGAGGCACAGCTGGATTGGGTGCATGGATGCATTTAGGCAACGAAAACTTAGCCTGCCATAAAATATGTCATCAACATCTCTGCTGCGGAGGGATATTCGGCCCCCGCAGTGAGACAACTAACCTAAAATATTTATCTCGCAAAAGAAAAAAAGAAAAAAGTCAGCCGATGGGATTTTTTTTTTCTTTCAAGCGCAGATATATGCGCCCAAAGTAAATCATCATAAATTCAAACTTTACCCTTGTTACTGACCGTCATCTCTCGTGCTAAGTAGACTATTGAGCCACTGAATGTCCCAGGAATGTTGCATTCTTGAGCGTCTGCTTGAACTAAAGAATTGAGCCAATCAACTGCGTTCTGCTTGACTGACGCTAGCCGTCTTGATACCAGGGTTAAGAAAAAGGTAGAAACATGGAGCATCTGAACCGTTTCTGCAGGAGATCTAAACAGCTAGTGAGTTAGGACGCGCGCGTGGGAAGGCGATAATTGGTGTTGATTCTGGCTATCTATGGCAGCACGCTGTAATCTAGTCTGCTGAAGGATAGTGCCTGCATGTTTATTTACTGGAAGCAGGCTGTGTCAGATCTGCTCGCTCATATGCACTTCCCCGGTCTGCCATTTCGAAGCCACCAATATAATTCCGAAACCAAAGTTTCGGTATTCCTGGGAACATTCTGTGGTACCAACACGGATAACAAAGTTGTTTCATCTCGACGTAAAGCTTATGAATGAGAAAGATAACGATGCCTCCTGTCTCAATCCTCACGGCGCTCGCACACCATTTTGATTGTCTCAAGATAGCAGGCGGCCTTTCTAGACTTTGTTTTACCTTGAGTCGGAGCACTGTCAAAGGCCAAAAGACATGCAAACACGTGCATACCAAAAATGCACTTTCACGGTGTACCTTCTGCATTCAGTTGGATATGAGCTGCAAAGTATATGCTTAATTAGAGACTTTGAGCTTTCGTTGTGACTTGATTGGTGACATGGGCTCCTATAGTCTGTTGCAGGTTAGGAAAAGCAGGGTAAGCCCCTCCCAAAGAGCTTTCTGATCACCATGATTGCCGAATTCTTCCTCTTCCCTCATTTCTTCTACAGCATTTGCTTCACTAAATTGGAAAATGTGCAAGGTTGTGTGAAAAGCTTGTCCTGCTTTTCTTAACCTGCAACAGACTATAGCACTGACTGCACTCTGGCAGTATAGGCATTTCTTCTCCCCTCCTTCAGTGCCTATGACACTCTTTTATCTCTATTTTTCGCACTCACGCGTCGACTGTGGTGCCGACACAATTGTTCCAGGACAGCAGGCGGCATTCTTTGAGGATTGTTGTTAGTTTTCTGCATAGAGGGGCTTTGGTCTCAAAGTCTCGAAACCGCCGTAGGTCTTCTGTTCCTGCTTCGCCGGCGTCTACAACGAGTTCCTCCTCAAGGACACGGGCGTCGACATCCACATCATGGTGCACAATGTCTTCATGTACCTCGACTCCATCGTCTGCAACATGGTCGTACTCCTGCTCCGTGGCGAGGCCGGCGGCGCGCTGTCGTCTGCATCTATTGGCACGCTGCTCCGCCCCAAGGTGATGGCAATCGTGGTGAACAGCGCCATCTGTGGCATCGTTACCTCCGTTTTCCTCAAAAGCCTCAACTCTATCCTCAAGACCTTTGCAAGCGCCCTCGACCTGTCGTTCACCGCCGTTCTGTGTTGGCTCATCTTCGGCATCCCCATCGATGTGTACACAGTGGCGGCCATTGTTGTGGTGTCGGTCGCAACCTGGTTCTACTCTCAGCAGCCAGTCGTGAACAAGCCGAAGCCGACGGCGCGGCACCGTGAAGACAGCGACGACGAGGGCGGCGACGTCACGCGCAGCCTCGTAAACGGTAAAAAGACGGAGCTCATAGCTGTGTAGGCGGCGACGTCGTAAGGATGTTCTCGAGTGCTATTCAGGCCCAAAATGTATTTTATAAATCAGCCAGTGGATGGCGTGCAATTAAGCTCTTCCCAAAGGTGTTTTTAGGTGGTGCACTTCCGAATTTTGTCAGCGTAGGTTTCCGGTAAAATTGCATGAAAAGAAAAGCCTGTTTATTATTTCTTTGCACTGGAGGAAAACAAAAGCAAACTGTTTGGTTGACACTTCTACCCAGATATTGTACCACACACTTCTACTCGCACATCGTACCACGCATGCTCGGATCTGCTGGATATCTAAGAAGCCTTCAAGTCTTCGTGCCACGTGGTGCCATATTTAAGTAGCAGCACCAACTCGACAGTTTGCTTCAGTTTTCCTCCCGCTGCATAGGGAAAAAAAAAAAAAGTTTTCTTTCATTTTTGTTTTTCCAGAAGCCTACACTCAACAAAATTTTGAGTAAGATACATGCACCACCTAAAGACACCTTTGTGAAAAGTTTTGTTGTACTCAATTTGTTAGCTCCTTTAATTAATTTTTGGACGCCCGGACAGCGCTTTAAAACACACCATACCTCGGCGTATTGTTGGCAGTAGCGAAACGTTGCTGGAGGATATACGCGGAACATTGTGAATGTCTGCAGTTGTCTGCCGACGCAGTTTTTGCCTAGCAGTAGCTCGTGACTGACGATTGTGCCTCCACGTCAGTACTGTTCTTATTTCCCGGTGTTGATCGGGGAGATTGAAGGCAACTTCACAATTTTTTTTTTTTTACGGACACGGTACTCGTTGCAATGTGTGCACTGCACGATTATTTTACTAGCGGGACAAACGATTGCAAAGAAATTATAGACTTCTCTGGACAATAAGGGGCATTTTATCGATGAATAGATTTATTCTGGATTTGTTGTTGGCATTATTATTATTATTATTATTATTATTATTACTATTACTACTACTACAACTACTAGCAAAGCTATGGGAAATTTATTTACATGTTCCTACTTTTGTTTTGTCTAGAGGACCTAGAATAAGCAAAATGACACATTAGCACATGGACAGAATCAAGAGCATAATAGTTTGATTGTCGCTGTGGTTGAGACGACCATGTTATATTTCTTAGGCGCGACATTTACATGCACCTACACATCTAGTGTCTTCATTGCATGCTTGCATTTAGCTGAAACAGAGAGTAGCAGCTTCTCAGTTCAGTCAAAGTCCAACAGCCTTACTCTACACTTTGTGCTGTATGTTGAAGGTAGTTCTGGAAAATATTTCAACTTTCAGCAGCGTGTGAAATTAATGTGCAAACAGTTTTTCAGAACATTTTGCTGTCAGGTTCAAGGAGCTTCCATCATAAACGCGCACGAGTTTTTGGGCATTTTTCAGTTGCTGCATTTCGGACCTCGAGATGCCTTTGCACAAAATCATTCCCGAGACATTCCATATCGCTTCATTCGTTCATCTAGCTAGGTTCTTACTTTTGCACGGACCACTGCCCAACACCCGATCCAATCACAATTCCCAAACTGTTTGGCCTAGTGTTTGGTCCATCGTGGTTTGCAGAAAACCACGAGATGCCCAAGTTTTTTTAGTTCAAGAACCATAGCGAACAATGTTTGACTCCCTTAGGAGTTTTAATATTTTCCGTCGTGTACCATAAAATACTGAGCATCTGCCCATTCTACAATAAGCGCCCATCCCGCAGTTTTGCATGATTATCTCCAAATTTTGAGTTGAAACAGTAGCTTTAGTATTTGCGTATAGTACGAGCAAACGCAAGCATAGTGTGTTTTGCACTGCGCATGCGCGGAGCCCGAAATTGTGGTCCTGGATTGGCGCATAGTGACGGTGTGCATGCGCAGCTTGGAGCACGAAACTCAAATGCATACACACAGCGCTTGCTTCTATACGCGATACAGAAACCCTCTTGTAAGGTACAATCCCATACCGGCTGCAGCTTACCGTTGGAACAGTGAAAGTGTTGTTTGCATTCAGAAATGATGCGAGCCATGATCGTAAGCAGTTCCACCGTGCCCGCTGAGCAGGAGAACTGGGTGACCCTCACTAGGGCACTTCCCGTTCCCGCCAAGAGAGGGCGAGCAACAAGCTGGGGACGCGAATGGTCACTGACGAGATGCGAATAGCAGAGGCAGATGTTTTAGTTGTACAACCGATAGCGTGCTCTATAGCTTCAATAACACTTCAGCGTCTCATGAGCTTCAAGCAAGTTTGTGCAGCCAGAGCACAACAGAAGGCAATGATTGTGTGGTGAAGGCTTGCCATTTGAAAGAAATGCCCTGTGTTTCTTGTCTGTCAGTGACAGTACTTTGTGCAGTGTATAAACTACTTGTAAAACATTTGTTTTTGTTTTTCTTTAGGCGACAAGCATAGTGTTATGTTATGCTTTGATGATTCTCGTTGAGGTTACCTGCTTCAAATAATGATGAAGATTAAACACGAGTGGACTGTCCCCCTCGTGAACTGAGCTACTTCCAAACTGCCCCTATTCGCAAACTCTGTTTCCGAGCTGTACTGTCACATTACAAGAGGGTGTCACAGATGCTCAAAGCATTATCTACTTTAGCCCATGTTAGCAGTGTGAATGGGCCGCTTTGGCAGTAGAACAGTTCAAGAACAAGTGTGACAGTACCTGTAAAGCCTAGTCCCAAAGAATTTCCGAAATCCTGAACCCTTGACAGAGTATGTATAGTAGGTTTCCTTTTTCTATTTTAACGTCAAGCTGTTCGGCTGGTATGTCTGCAAAATTATTATGCAGCCACTTACTGCGACGCAAGTAGTACCATTTCAGTGTTGCCAAAGCTTTTACTTGTTATTGTTTAACGCAGCTTTTTATGGAGTTATTTGTAAACCGTTATTAATATCTTGTGTTCCAGCTTTTTGTTTATTGTCATTCTATTTCTTGTGTAGAGTGTGTTCGAAAATTTACTTATGTACGGTGTGCTGTGATCGAACCTGGTGTGTGTTGCAGTTTTTGTGTTGATTCTTGTACTGTGATTATTTCCCATATCCATAGCTTATGCGGTACTTACAAAGAAAATGGCTGATAGCCAAAGCACTATATGCAACTGAAAATGTGCATGTCAACTGAATTAAGTGAGCTGAACTATTGCTAATGACGCTTTACAATGAAACATTCACATCTTTGTTGAGCATCAATCAAAGACTAGCTCCTGTCATGCCATATCAATGCATGTGACCTAACCACCGGTAATTAAACGTTTGTCTATCCCAACGAGGTAGAGGGCCTTAGAGCGATAAACTGGCAGCTGAAAGTGGCCCACAATTGCCGCCGCCATGTTGCACCTTTTTTTACCACTACCGTAAAATACCGGGCAAGCGCCCACTCCAACTTTACAGATAATCGCAAAAAAATGGGGGATGGGTGCTTGTCCAATCATCAATTTTACATATAAATGTACTGTATGTATTTTCTCAGATCTTACGAATTTGGTAATGGGCGCTTAATGTGGAATGGGCGGATGCGTGATATTCTATGGTGGACACATGACCTTCTAGCTTTACGTCCAGATTTTAACGAAGTACCGCACACAAATAATTGCTTAGTAATCTTTAATAACAGTACCGACGAGATAAGCTATGTTTCGTTTGTTTCAAGTCCAAAATGTGCTTTTATGACAAAAGCTTGGGCAGCTTTGCAATGCCTCTGCTAGATGCCGTCAGCCGCGGTGCTGCATTTTGGGTTTTTATCAGAGCTAGACACTGATCTCTGGGGGTCAGGGCCGTATCCAGAAAAAAATTTCGGGGGGAAGGGGGGGGGGGGGGGGGAATTTTCGGGGACAACGGCGGCCATTTTAAAAATGTCTATTGTCTTATTTTCGCCTATGAATCATGTGCATCGGTGGCATATAATGGAGAGTTATAGCAAACCGGAGAACCGGTCCCGGTTTGGTACCCGGTAGCCGACCGGTGCCACTGCGCGTGCGCAGAGGTGGAGATTAAAATCGGCTGGCTGCAAGTGCACCGACCAGGGCCGTACGCAGAAAAAAATTTTTGGGGGGGGGGGGGGGTCAGAACCCCCAACCCCCCCCTGGCTACGGCCCTGCTGGGGGTAATGGTATTGAAAAAATAGTTTATCATGTCTTTTACAGCGATCACAATACAACTCTCGGCAGTTTTGCGTAAAAGCCTCATGATTTGGTACGGTCACATATCTAGTAATAACAATTGTACAACATGGCGGCAGCCAAGTGGGGGTCACGTTTGCCTGGTGAACGGGATACCAGTTTATTGCTCTAAGCCCCTCTACCTCGTTGGTCAATCCAGACCTATCACTATTAATGTGATAAAAAAACAAACATTAACTTGATTTTTGACATGGGCTTCAAGCTTTGCAGCGTCATATTTTTTTCAATCTGCACAGCGGAACTAGTGAACATCTTTCAGATTTATATTCTATTTCTCTAGTCATGTGCAAGTGTTCAAACTTGCATTTCTCTATGCCCAATCTCCCCATCATCCATGTGCATGACAAAATGTTCCTATTTGCAAGCAGATATAAATTGAACAAACCTCTTTTTTTATATATGCTTGCAACATGCACAACATTTTTCTCAAAGTGCAATGTTTGAGATGTGGAGTTTACTAATAAAGACCCCGGTAAACTGGGTAAACATACATTAGGTCATGAAACAGTGTAGCAGTACTATTTCTGTGATATTGTTATTTAACTTTGTTAGGCTAAATTTCCTTCTACAAAGTATAATAGAGGATGAGTGTCATTATTTCTGCATTCTTGTCTACTCATTTGTATTAGATGGACAATAAAAGACAAAGTATATTTTGGTGAGAAACTCCGTGTGCCCGTGTATTTGGTAATGCCCTTCAACACTAGTTGGCTTGTTTCCATGTATATTTGCTCCGACAAAGGCAAGATGATTCTTCCAAGCCTTATTATTGAGACGCTTGCATTGCGTAAACTTTTGTTTTGACATCAATAGGAAACAAGTAAAATAGCTTTCACCAGAGTTAGTGTCTGCTAAAAACAAATCATATAGTACAGCCCAACAGCTCGCATGCACTCAGAGCTGTTGCCCAGTGATCCTAAACTCCTAGAAACGGGGAAAAAGAAAATTGCATCCTGCCTTTTCACAACACCTGTCAACTTCAGTTTTATATCCCTCAATATTTCTAACATCCTGTTGCTGAATGTCAATCAGCTCATCACAAATAAATGATGAAAAAGCTCAAACACAAGTTGCACATGCGAGACCTGTGACCAAGCATTCAGATTCCAACGGATCCTAAACAGGCAGATCATTCTTAAGGTCCTGAAGCCATGTAGACAAACTCATGTTTACAAACAAACCGGAGCGCCCCTAGCGGATGCCACCATTTACTAGGGGCATGATGGAGTGTAGGCAAGGAACTCGCCGTCGCTCATAAACAAACCATTGAAATGCGATGTCGGCATCAGTGCAAGTCCCCGTGCTCTTTTTTGCATTGGCATTGTTGATTTTACGTCTTCCTAGCAACGTCCGACTACCTGAGCGGCCTTAGTGTAATTACCGAGGCTCGTTACACCACAAAACTTTGCGTGAATAATGTGACATGCGGCGATTCCTTCCGCGTGGACGCTACAGAACGGACGCTAAAGCCCAATTCGCATGATGAGATTCCACTCGCAATCTTCAGTCGCGACGTTGCTCGGGCTCCAAAAGCGTGAACCGCAGCCGAGATGGTCTACGTCGATACTAAAAATTGCAAGCGGAATCAGACCAAGTGAATCAGGCATAACAGGGCGGTAATGGCCACTTGTAGCAATGATTAACATCTCCTTGTATCTACTGTTTACACTGAGCCTGCTTACTCCATCCATCAAACATAAAAGGGGACCAGAAAAAAAAATTCTGCAAAAAAGTTGCTTTTGAAAAATGCCATATTTACATCCACCAACATCTACAGAGTATTCCCAGACAGTTTCAATAGTTTACACTGCATAGTTAATTTTTTATAAATTATTTTCGGTCCACCGATGCTATTGGAAAGGTAGGGGTTGTAGCACTTGGAACATATTTTTCTCTGTTCCACTTTTCGGCATAAATTTCACTTTAGGAAAACTATTGTTCATTAATGGGGCAAAAGGAGACTCGCTCGTTGTTTTTCCTAACTGGAATTGTATGGACAATGCAACTGCAGAATTGTTTTTTGACTTCATGGATGTCCCTTATAAAATATCTAAATTTTGTGAACATAAAAGGCAAAAAAATTTATTTGATTTTTCACTGCAATGTTAGCATAAAATAAATTACTTTTAGGACATTTTGTTTTCACAGTTGCACTTTCCAGGCATTCTGCTGCAGATCTAGTGAAGAAAAACGTTGGGTATTGCATTATTTTTCAAACAATAGTTTTCCTAAACAAAGTCAATGTGTTCCTGATAAAAACGACTATAATTAATTTTACAATTCATGTACACAGATGAAACTGCACTGCATTCTGCCTCACAACTGCCAGTATATAATGCAAGTTTAATTCATATTAAGCCAGGGTTCAAAAGTTGACCCTCTTGGGTAATGTCCCGCCTTAAGTCTTTTAAGGCCTGCACTTACTTCTTATCGGAATTATCAAGCCGGTGTCGTCTGAAAGAGAAGACGACAAGCAGAAATATTTGAAAGAGCGGACGACAGTTTGAATGATCAGGTGGCTGTTTGAACTTTAAAACACAATGAACGTTGTCCGCAGGTGGTCCGTACAACTTGACGGTTTTCCGGCGTTCATGTTGGAACAAAACAAATAAATCTGATTAACACAACTATCCGTGAATTCAAACCAAAGTGCTTCCCGCCCATGCAATCTTTGTCCGACTGAGTCTGGGTTTCCCTTTTTGATGGCACATGTCCACATTCTCGGACGAACTGATCGCATTGAAACTGACCTTCAAACATTTCTCAACTCTTCTGGTACAGCCCCAGTCGTGGCGTCTTGATGAGAAGGCAGGTTTTTGTCTGGTTTCTTTCAAAACAAACAATGCAGGAATGCACATCTCGCATAGTGACTTCCTCCCATAGCCCCAGACCGGAAGTGCGCTCGACACGCCACCACCGCACCGTGACGTAACAGAGTTGAGTTTGTGTGTAAGTGCTTCATATGGCCCAAAAGTAAGCTCTGACAACTCAATGAAATCCATTTTAGTCATTCTTTTTATTTATTTAAAGAAACAAAAATGATATTTGCAGACTACGACACCAACATGTCCTCACTGTCCACATCAGACGACATCGCATCGTCCGCTTCTTTGTCCGCATCGTCTGCTTCGCCCTTTTCACCCTTCCTCTCCTTCAGCTCCCTCAACGTCTCAACGTACCTCAGCAGATACTTGTTGTGGTCGCACACCTTCGCCAACTCTGCGTGCCGCAACGTCACATTCTTCAGCAGCGTCCTCAGCGTAGCCATTGCTTTCCCCGACCTCTCTTTTAACGCCTCGCCGTGCTGCCTCAGCAAGCTGTCTATCCACTCGACGTAGAACTGCACGTGTGTTGTCGACTCCAACCTCCCGCCTAGGAACGCCAGCAATTTTTCGACGTAGACCTGAGGGAGCGACCTCGCGACCAGCTCCACGCTCTCCGGAGGCACGCTCTCGACGACCTCCGTCGTGAGTGCGTCTTCGTTGAGCCGAAACGCCGTCGTGATCGCACGAGCGTAGTCCTTCTCTTTTGCAGCCGCACGAATCGTTGCCGGTGTCACATTCTGTTCTAGCTCGAATGGATCGAACACTAGTGATTGGTCGAGGGAGTACACGAGCACGCCCTCCGTCGTGACCGCGGCCCACGACCTTCCGGTCGGCGAGAAGCAGACACCAGAAACTCGAACCTCGGGTTTGAAGCCGCGGCTCGAGAGGTCTCCCTTCTTGACCCCCGGCAGCGAGAGCGCGGCTTCTTGAGCGGCCTCTCGTTCTTCCACGAGTGCCATGTTGCCGAATTCCGTCATCTTCCGGCGGCTGACAAAGTCGTCGATGCCGTCCAGAGAGTGGTTGCAGCTGATCTCGAACTTTTTCAGCAGGAGTTGCTCGCGCACGTGGTAGATGCAGACGAACTTGGAGCGCCCCGCGGCCAGGATGCACTCGCCATCGGCCGTGTAGCACAGCGTGGTGAAGGCTTGCGACCGCGTCAGCCGTTTGGCCGTGATGAGATCCGTGTCTCGGCGGCCGCTTGCCAGGTCCTGCCTCCCTGCGATGGTGTATACCAGCGTTTTAAGTGCTTCCTTCCTTTTAACGACTTGAGAGCGCTAGCTTCTGTCTCATGTTCTAGAAGTGATCACTAGCTCACACTAGATGTACTGCCCTACACTCGGCGTCAAGTAGCTCGTCGCAATATTCAAAATGAGTTTGACCACCTAAATATTGTGCAAAAAACTTTTAAAACTTTTATTTTGGGGGTGGGGGAGAAAGTTGCATAATGTTTTCTTTGTTATACAGTCAACTCTCATTAATTCAAACTCGAGGGGGGCTGAAAATTTGTTTGAATAAAGCAAAGTTTGAATTATCAGGAGTTTCTTTCCATAGAGACACATAGGATGGGACCTGCACGTTAATTTGAATTAAGAGATTTTGAATTAACGAGAGTCGACTGTACCTGCATGTTGCATATGAATGCCTATGCGTGCAATGTGCATTGCCTTGCACCTGTATGGGTCTTCAATGCAATGTCGCATTCAATACGAGCTGAAACAATCTTTCCCGCTTCTTTGGCACACCTGCCGATTTTCGAAAGAGCTACGGTCTGAACTAGGAATCAAACACAAAGCCGAGGTTCCATTCTTCGGACGCTTTGACAAATTGAGAGATGATAGAGCTTGTGGGGACCACAGAAGTAGAAAAAAAGTCGGGTTGGGCGTTCAAGCTCATATCGTCCGCGGGGGTACTAACAGTATTGATAAATAAATGAAGCGTTTTTTGTGACATGCGTGTTCTACCCAAACCTCCGAAAACATTTTTGTGTTTAATTTGGGCGTCTCCTTAATCTGATCCAGGAAGATTCGTTTCGCACGTATGCCATACGTTAAGTGACCCTTACCTTCGATGCTGCCCACTTGCGTCGAGGATCGGGGCTCGAAGAAGACGATCGCCCCGTCCAGGGTGGCCACTGCAAACTCCTGCCCGTCCGGGCGGAACTGAACCGCAAGTCCATCCGCGGCCAGAGGCAGGGCCTCACGTCCCCCGCCTTTCTCGGCAAAGAGGTTCCAGATCCGGCACGTCTTGTCCCACGACGAACTGACCAGGACCGACTCTGCGCCGGGCCCGAACGAGAGCCCGGACACGCAGCTCTGGTGTCCCGCGAGGACGTCCAGCAGCCTGCCAGTCTGGAGGGACCACACAAACACCTCGAAGGTGTCCTGCGGAGAAAAGCGCCAGACCGTCATGCGGGGCGACGACGAACGAGCTGCTAAAACTCTCTAGCGAGGGGCCCTATACTTGTTTTCGCCTCGAGGAAAAGAGAAAGTCAGAGATTTGGCTGTCAGAGGAAGAAGCGATGCTTGTGGCATTTGAAACGTGTTTGTCTTGATAACAATTGATTCTAAATAAAAATATCAATAGGTACAATAGGCATATTAGTATCTGCAGTGATGTGATTGGCCTAAACCGTTTTGGAGCACCTTTCGGAGCAGCCAAAACAGAGTTTTGGAGCAGCAAAAGTGGCCTTTGGAGCAGCAAAAGTGGCCTTTGGAACAGCAACAACAGTGTTTTGGAGAAAAAAAAAGTGGCTTTTGGAGCAGCCAAAACACTTATTCGGAGCTGCAGAAGTGGTTTTTGGAGCAGATATTATTAAAAAATAAAAATATTCGCTTTAAGTGCTGGACAAACAAAGGGTACTTTGTTTGCTGCAGTAAACAAATTATGGTCAAGTTAGACCACCTGGGAGTCTTTCGACATGTAACTGACATGCCAATGACATGATACATTTTGCAATGCTTCAGTTAAATGATACATATATATGTAACCGTTATAAATATGAACCAAACTGCACATATTAAAGCATATTTGAAAATGACCAGCTTAGTAGTAAATATCACAGCATTAGGTTGACCAGATGTATAATACATGGAAGCTCTGTCCTGCTGCTGAAACCAGAACTACTGCAGCGCAATGCGAAATTGTACACAAGACGAAGGTGCATTACGACTAGCGGGTGGTTTTCTTTTTGCTTTCCGAAACTTTCTGCAAGGCTGCTGCAAGCCTCGCTTTGCCTTCGGCTAGTAACAAATGTCCACTTCCAATGCCTCCAAAGAGACATTAAGACGTCCCACAAGTGTACATACAGTGCTGTAGGCGTCGCCGAGCAATTCTGAAAAACCACTTCCCATTGTTTTACTGGATCCCAACGTGCCCGATTTTCGTCGAAAGTAAGGAAACGTAAAGCAATGGATTGCAAGTGTCCCGGCTGGTACCTCTGTCGTGCATTCATGTTCGCAGCACATCAGGGCAACTTCGGCAGGCTTGCAGTTGCACGTGCTTCGTCGCACGAGCGGAGATGGCTGTTCGATCGAAATTGAAACCATGCCACTCTGCTCGGTCGCCAACAGGTTCCCAAAATTGTATGCAAAATGTAACTGTTCAGCCAAAAAAAAAAAAAAAAAACAGTCCAGCAGCACATGTTAAAAAATTTAAAAAAAAAAAAAAAAATGCGAGACAAGGTCCATGAGACGGCGAGAGCGTGAAACGAGAGACTGCGGGAAAAACCATGCAAGACCGGATGGACGATTGATGTAGGGCACTGTAAGGTTCCGGAACCTTTTCATTTGTTGTCTTACTTCGTCTGGAGGAATGTTTTTAGGGTAGACGTGTGGGGTTCACTAGAAGATGTTTACGACCTCCGGGCGGGAGAACTTTGTGCCCGGGTCGGGGAGTCCCCCTTTGCTGTGCGGGTGTCCCGTTACTCGGGAACAGGCCGCGGCGCAGCGGGCTGGGGTGCCTTCCGCGCCCCGCTCGGCTGACTGCAGCTGGTCGACCAGTGCCACCACTTGGGCTCTTCGCTTGGAGAGTCGTTTGTCGCTTCCCATTTACAAGTGTCGGCCGCTCTCCTAGAGGTGTCTCGGGCGCTGTGCTTCCAGAGGTGATTTGTCGTGTCTGAGGGCCAGACTCGTCTGCGCCTCCTACGCCTGATGCCATCTAGCCCTGGGCTCAGAGCGCCGGATGAGAATGTTGACCCCCACGGGAAAATGGGAAAGAGGGACAGGCTGCTCTCAATAAGAGCACAGGCGAGACAAAGGGAGGGGGTCTTTGGTTTGGTACCGCTAAAGAAAGGAGCCACTCTCTAACGGCGGTCAAGTCCGGGGCTCCGGTTGTCGATGTCTGTATTCCTGTATCCAGTATGTTAAATTGTCTTTTATTAAACTGTTGCGAAAAAGTAACTGCATAAACAGTTGTCTGGCCCGACCCGCAAGCCATCCTCCTCCACACCATCGAGGAGGAATCACAGTTTGAACCTATCTGGTACATTCTGTCGGACGGCCACTTGCGCCACCTAGCTCACGTATGCTCAATTACGGCACTCAGTTTAGTTTCGGTATTGAAAGGCGACCGAAATTGGTTCTTTGGCGCAGGCTTGGCACAGATTAGCCATATTTTGGCAAAAAGTAGCAGGTTGTAGCAGGGTTGGGCCCCTGGCGCAGTTTGGCGCAATTGGTGCAGCAATCACATCACTGTATTTGGCACATCACTCTCCTATATTGCATTTATTGGTATATACCTCAAATATGTATATCCGTGTGTTTTATTTTTGGTTTCAAAGGTGCTTAGTACTTGTATTTTACTTATTTTTATTTCCACTCCTGCTTGGGCCAGTCTCTAATCTTTTTAGATTAGATAAAATCTAATCTAAAAATTGCTTACTTGTATCGTAATTCATTACATACAGATGGAAAATATTAAGTCTCAGCGAGGTGCAGGACTTTTTTTACTACAGTAATTGAGGTGAAAACAAGTGTGGTTAAAGGGGCGTTTAGAGTCAGAATCGCGTTTGAATAGGCGTTCGAGATTGGGGAAATGTCCCCCACAGAGGTTGGTGTCCTCTTTCGGGAAGCGAACGAGTAAAAGAGGTGTGCAAAACGAGAAAATGTTTGGTTTAGGCATGTGTGCACTCAAAACCGTGTGCTACCTCAATAACCTTGTTCTACCTCAAAAAGGTGTCCCAGTTACGCTTTGTTTCGCTGTAACTTGGCAAAGAGCGAACGCTGCAGCCCCTTCGAGCCAATAGCGAACACATGACATCCCCCGTTAACGAAACAAGAGTGGGAGCGTGACTGGTTGGGGAAAAGGGGAAGGAGTACCGTAGCTCCTCCCTTACCCTCTTCTGTGTCCCCGTACATCGCTTTTGTCACCCTAGAAGATTAGCCCGTCGCTCGGAATTGGCACAAAAGCGGCTTTGCGCTCTTTCCCGCCTGCGGCTTTGACAGCACTGCACGCAACTGGTAATCTAGAGTACAGTCGCAAGTCTCCCTCAACGTGTCGACTGGCTCAATGGACCTTTGCCATTTGCCAATTTACGGTAAAGCGAAGTATAGAGATGTTGCAAACTTTCCTACCGTAAAATACCGAACAAGTACCCACCCAAAAGTTGGAGATAATCAAATCAAAATGAAGCTGGGCATTTACTAGGCCCAAGAGCAGGAAAGCAGAAGGTGCATACGGTGCGATAGACCTCGCTCGATGCGACGGAACAGTATGCGGAGTGCAAGTTTGTCTGCTTCTTTTGCGGGGGTTGTGTTGTCGTCAGAACGCTGAGCTCTGCTTGGCTGTGATTGAGACAGTGGGTAGACCTCAAGGCAAGCTGCCTCAAACTCTACCCACTATCTTTCAATCAGAGCCAATCAGAGCTTGGGGTTCTGACGTCACCGCAACCCTTGCCAAAGAAGCAGACGAACTTGCGCTCCGCATAGAAGCAGTATAGGTTGCTTCACGCCGGCACGTCTGTGTAATAAAGCTTCATTGCTTTACACCTATTTCTAGGAGAGGCAGCTGACTTACCCCCCATTCACACTGGAAGCGGATCCGCGTTCGCGAAGCGGTTGCGAAAGCGGTTGTATAAAGATCCAGTGCAATTGCACGCGCATTTGATGTCATCGTGTGCGCGTGCAATTGTACTGAATCCTTATACAACCGCGTTCGCAACCGCTTTGCGAACGCGGATCCGCTTCCAGTGTGAATGAGCCCTTAGAGGTGCACCTCGGTTAAATCGGTGTGCTCAGAAGTCTGCCGAGGTGGGCACTTGATATGTCCTTTGCTTATATGTCAAACATCTCAAAAGTGGGAGTGGGTGTTTATTGCAACACGGGTGCATGATCGGTTTATTACGGTGGGTAGGGAATCGTTATCCTCTCCAATTTTGAATTTGCGAAGTTTGAGGCTTTTTAGGTTTCTGAAAGTTCTAGTTTGACAGCTTCGAATTTCTTTGAGGTTGAAGTTTGAAGAATTTCCAATTTATTTTGGATCAAAGTTCATGAAGGTCAAAGTGTTTGTGTTCCACATTTTCCAATTGGGTACCTTCGCTTCGTTTATATTTCCCATTTTAAATCTTTGGATGTGTTCTTATACGTAACAGAATTTTTTTTTTTTTTAAGCTGACAAGCCACGTCGGAACTCAAAGCAAAGCTGACGATGCTATCAGGCAGGTCGCTGACTGGTTTGGTGCCTTCACTTGCCTAGTGGACCAGTTTTTCTAGGACAGCAGTTATACTTTGGCTATACCGTATTATTATGTTCTGACGTTTGTATATCCCTGCTAGAACACCATGAGTCGTTGGTAATCTACAGCAGTTGTTAAGTCGCCAACAGGTAAAAGGAGGTTTCGATCGAAGCATGTTTCGTTGAAATCCAAGCCATCTTTAAATCGCCTTCAATAATTTAAAGTCTGTAGATCAAATGCCTTGATGTAATAGCTCGCATGGTTGCAGACGAACCTCTACGCCACTCTTCTACGACGATACGACCCCCCTCGTCGCATACCAACCTGTGAGCCCGCACAGACCACCTCGCCGCTCGGATCCACTGCCAGCGATGCAAACTGCACCGCCCTCGGCGCCGCCAGTGTCTTGAAATTCCGGTACCGCTGCAGATCAAACGCCCGCACTGTGCCGTCCAGTGAAGCTGACAGCACGGCCCGCCCGCTCTGCACAAACGCGACGCCGCTGATCCCGGCGGCATGCTCCGAGAACGTGACGAAGCAGAAGCCGTCCGACGCGTTCCACAGCTTCACACGGCCATCGTCTCCGCCAGTCGCGATGTATGCGCCATCCGGCGAGTACGCCACACACGCCATGTTGTTGGCGTGGCCCTGCTGCTTGAGCGCGAACGACTCCGACTGCCACTCCCACACGACGAGCTGGCCGCGGCGCGAGCTCGCCAGGGCAAGCCAGTCGCCGGCCGAGTTGAAGGCCGCGGCGTCGATCTCGTGCTCCGAGACGGACAGCGAGTGGATCAGGTTGTAGTCGGGCATCTCGTGCAGTAGGAAGGCTCCGGTCGAGAAGCCGGTTGCCAAGAGGCGGTTCCCGCGATGGTAGCAGGCGGCAACCAGCGAGACGGCGCCGCCGTCCATCTTGAGTGCGTCTTTCATGAAGTGCTTGGCCGTTCTCCTGTGGTAATGGAAGGACAAGTGTTGGCCATGGATTGATTTCTTTGTGTAGTCATGGATTTAGATTTGAATTCGTGTGCCATTCCCGAGTGATGTGATTGCTGTGCCAAAGGGCTTACCCTGCTACATCCTGCTACATTTAGCCCAAATGTGAGGAACTTACACCAACATTGCACCAAAAATTGATTTCCCTTTATCAAATACTGAAAATATAATGGCTCAGTTTCTGCTACATGTCCGGATCGCTACAGTAGGCTTGTGTGAATTTTCAGAACTTTCGATTTTAGCTGCAAATAACATACCATCCTATCTGATCCCTTTACCAGTGTCAAACATTGACGGTATTCAGAATCTTCGCAATATCTCTTACTTTTCTAGTCTGCTCTGACGTGAAAGTTAGCTTTGTTGAGTGCGTTTCTCACCGCGCTCTTGTGTACTGGTGTGAAGCGGTAAGTACTGCTAATTTGCGTATCTTGCTTTGCCACAGCGCATCCGAGTGCTAAAGGGAAAGCATTCCCCCAGAGTGGGACATTAAAGGAGCTGTGCAACGATTTTAACGTTGAAAGAATTGGCATCTTCTGCTTTTGATATTGTTGACCTTGTCACAAATGACAGAAAACACACCTCCTTTCATCAAAACGTTGCGATTCCACGGCGTAATAGCTAGGCAAAACTTAGAATATTCCCCGACCTGCAGCCGCGAGCGGTGGCCAAGAGAAACACGCGGCGTGACGTCAATGGGGAATCTTGTAGAAAGATAGCAAGTTGTGCGAATACCTGCTCGATAAAAGGTAACTTTTCTATAAATCTTGTCGTTCCAACATATATATAAATGGGTCAAAAACGTGGTATCATCGACAAAACTTTTACTATACGGAGTTTTAGTGGCACCATCTATCCTAGGTCCACAAAACCGTCAGCTCTATCTGCTACTGCGAACAGCCGCCAGAAGCCGGAGGGGGAGGGGGAGAGGGCCGGACGGGTATGGCCGGACCCGGATGAGACTTTCCTTCTTTTACCATATTGTTCGCGCGGCGGCCGCGAGTGGATGAGTTCTCGCTGCTCACTGATGGCTCTAAAGAGAGAACTTTTCCAGAACCCCGCACCTACCCCATCAACGTCACTGCACATGTGACCAGGAAGGCGACGTACGAGTTGAGAGGCAGCAAGAACCTGGATCTTTTTCATTTTTTTAAAATAAAAACTAGGGTATCCAGGCAAAATCTGTTTTCTGTTGTTCACTTCAGAAGTGTCAGGCATCAATTTCCACAATAATTTAAGCAAAGCCCTGAAATTGTTGCACAGCTCCTTTAAACACAAGCGTCGGGTATATTAAGAAAAAGGAACTTTGTGAGTATTAATGTAACAGCTCTTAGCTGTACCGTAAAATTCCCAGCAAGTGCCCCCACTCGAGCAAGAGCCCACCCCCCAACTTCACTGCTAATCTCACATTTCCACGCTGTTCCCAGCAAGCGCCCCCCTCCCCGCTCCGCACCCGTATTACGCACCGCGCCGATTGCGCCCAGGCAACACTGGCCTGCGAAATTCAGTCCAAGAATCCAATCAAATCTATTGCTGCTTTGCAGCCCGATCGCCACGCGCCATTGTCGCTTTGTTTTGAGGGTGTCAGGTTGGCTATGCATTCTTACACAGTGGCAAAGAAAATCGAGGTCATCCAATGGCATTGTGAAAACGGGAAAAACGTACACCAGACGTCTCGACACATCAAGCTCGACTGGATACGGGAATGGGACAAGAATTTTAGCAATTTGCTACAGCCAAACTACGGGAAAGCCAAACTTCAATGAAAGCTAAGTAACGGCGCGCCGGTGTTCAGTGAATATGTGGACGACGCGCTCTTTGAATACCTGGAGCGCAAAAGAAGTGCAAAATGAGCCATTAGCAACCGGCTTCTTTCTAAAGAGGCTGTCAAAATAGCCAACGGCATGCAGTTGGGAAACATTGCGGAATGCTGCAAACTTTTTCTTGCGACCGAATCTGAGAAGTCTTTTGGCGGTTTTGAAAGTGAATAACATAGCAGTGACAAATCTTTGCCCTAACAAAGTCTATGTTCTCAGAGATTAATAAAGTATTAAATCCGTGTGCATGCACTTTTTTTTCTTTTTCTGTCGGAAAAATTTTGTCATTGCCATCTTGAATTTTGGAGCCAATCCAGGATAACGCCCGCCCCCGCCTCCCCCCCCACCCCCACTTTTCCAGGTAATTTTGACTTGTGTGCGGGGGGGGCGCTTGCTCGGAATTTTATGCTAGTAAAAATTTCTGAATTATACTTTGGCAATTATTTACGATAGATTGCGGTATTCTAGCAGTATCTTTTTCAAATTCGTGATTTAGGGTTTATTTTTATTTGAACTCGGTTGTTTAGTTGTCACCTTTATATACGTTTCATCCGTACGAGGTACAGCCAATACACGTTTGCAAGTCCGGTCTCAGGGCGCCGCCATCTTCCTCAGTGGGGTGCGCTCTTGGGCGCGGCCATAATCCGATTACGTTGCCTTAGCAAGGCTTCGCAATCGGATTATGACTCGTCTAAGCGCTCCCCAGTCAAGCAAGATGGCAGCGCCCTGAAGCCGGACTTGCACACGTGTATAGAATAAATTAAAACTAAATTAGTTCAAGCAGTAGAAGGAAGTTTGGAAATAACCTGACCAACTTTTGCTGGATTGTTTCAAGAAAGCAAACTCATCGTTCACATGCCGATCTCGGTTACCATGAGGTTCTACATACAGAATGTAATTAATTTTCATAATTTAATGACAGAAGTATTTTTTTAAAATCCTGAATTAAAAACTTGTTTTATTTCAACCTTTAGAACTTGAATGAAATATCAATTTGCGCACTTATGTGCAACTGAAGAGCTAGTTCTGTGTTTAAAGAAATCAAACCTGCCATTTGCAAAGAAGTGTGAAGGCAAAGCATACACATTTTTAGTTGGATAGGCCAACACACAAATCTTAACATATAATATTCACAGTGATATGAATACCGTAGAATATCGCGCATCCGCTCGTTCCACATTAAGCGCCCATTCCCAAATCTGTAAGATCTGAGAAAATACGCACAGTACATTTATATGGAAAATTGATGACCGGACAAGTGACTCCGTCCGTGTCGTTCTGTGTTTTGTCCCTTGTCCGTATCCCCAGTCTCGGGTTTACAACTATGCCCATCCCCCATTTTTTTTGCGATTATCTCCAAAGTTTGAGTGGGCGCCTGCCCGGTATTTTACGGTAAAAATGAAGTAGTTTTTGCTGCTCCATAATTGACTATTGGCTGCTCCAGAAGGTGCTCAAAAATTGCTCGGGTCAACAGCATCACTGCATTGCCTTTTGAGCGGGTGGAAACCAGTCTTGGGTAGTAACGCGCTTTTTTAACTTCGTTACTCTCTTGATAACTTTGAACTGTAACACGCCACTGTTGCAAAACGTAACTCGTGTAACTCTAGTTTAATTACTATTTCTAAAGTAACAACATTCTTTTTCTCATTACTTTCTGCAGTTTCTTCGGGGTTCAGATATCACCGAATGAGTACAATCTGGCCATTTGTTTGCACTTTTCAAATGATGCGCTTCGACATTTCTGATGTCACGCTCGCCTCGTCCCAACTTTACTTTCGCTTTCTGTAATAAACTCGGGAGGGGAGGTATTTTCTACTTTTTTTTTCTCGACTCATAGTTTTATAGAAAGGTGGGCTAAAGGTAACGCTGTTCCTTTATAAAAGAAAAAAAAACAACCGTAACGAATTACTTTTCATTGCGGTAGCGGTACCTTCGCTACTTTCATCGAAAGTAACTGTAACGAATTACATCAGAATTCACTGGGGGGCTAATTGGTTGAACATCTAGACGGAGGTTTTCTTCTTAGTCCTTTGCACTTTTAAAACCACCGTCTAGATGTAACGAATTACCTTTCTTGAAGTAACCACACGCAAGACTGGCAGATACTACGGTGAGGATCGCCTTCGTGCGTGACCTATGGTCGTCAACGAGGCGAGAACGACGGGGAGGGAGGAGCTTCAGCCGTCCTGCCCCCAGCACGAGCTTCTTACTTTCGGAAACACTTTGGCGTCTCCCGAGCCCCGAGCGTGCACATGCAGCCATTCACATACACATACATATATATGCGTGAAGCCATACATACACATGCAGCCATACACACATACATAGCACGGCAAAAAGCAACGAGCACGTCAGGCACATAGCCAGGATTTCTTTTCAGGGGGGGAGGGGCCACTTATGACAAAATGCTGTATGAGGGGAAGGGGAGAGAGGTCCCAGCAAAATGAAAGATTTCGGGGGCGGGCCAGGCCCCATGGGCCCCCCTCCCCCCTACTGGCTACGTGCCTCGAGCACGTGCTGGAGGCTGGGCTTCCTCCGACGCCCTGCTATTTTCATCCTGCCGTCGACTACAAGGTGCCCCCCCCCTCCCCCGCAAATTGCTTTTTCTTTTAAATTTTTTTTTATTGCAAGAATACTATGCATCGCCAAACGCTCGTTCTCCGCCCTGAATCTAGTCCTGGCGGTCCGAAGATGCCAAAGTTTCGGCTCGAACCGTCGTCTTGTCGAAAAGTTAAAAGTATTTTCTTTGAATTCCCGGTGGGAAAAATGGCGGCCACCGTGGAGCCGAGTGGTGACTGTTACTGAAAACAGACGCAGTTTTCCCTGTTAAAATTTTCGGAAAATCACTTCCAACTTTTGATTGAGATGACGGTTAGTTGTGAAACTTTGGCATCTGGTTTGGACTGCTAGCACTACATATGCACAAAGAATGGGTGTTCAAAGATGAATATTTTAGAAAAAAAAACAAAAAAAACACTGCAAACATTTTTTTTGGGGGGGACATGCTGTATAATGGGTTTGCATATGTAAGCTATTCCCATTAATTTTCATTTCTTAAAAATATATTGTAAAAGAAAACGATAAGAATGAATATATTATCTCAAGAGATAGACCACCTTAAATAGAGAGCTAATCAACTGAAAATGAAAAACAAAACCTCCCTGTTAATTTGCAAAATAACAAAAAAATGTTTTTATTCCCTTTTCAGTTAGGAATGTTTGCTTATCTCCCGCTGTAGCTAACTAACCATTTTGGTCGAGATCACGATTGGCCCGTGCACTGCAATTACTTGAAGTGTGCAATCTTTCTGTGTTCTAGAATAAGATAGCGAATCTTGCCATAAATACCAGTGGGTTCTCTCCAAATATTACAATATGCAAAGGAGACAAACTTAAATTCGAGTGCAGGTTGCGTGTCTATGCTCTCGAACGTCCGTGGTGTATGCTAAAAGCTAAAACGGAGACCAGTTTTAAGTTAACCTGAGGCCTGCAATCCTGACATATGCAAGAGGCTACCAGTCTGAGAAGCAGGCTTCTTTGCATGCACTGGTGCAGCACAGACAAGCAGAAGTGTCAGGAAGCCGCCTGACTTATTCTGAAATAACTTGCTTATTGTGAAATATTGAAATACCTTAACTTATTGTGAAATATCGAGAACAATTTGCTCTTCAGAAATTCCAAAACTAACAGTTTAAAAAAGTAAATAAAAGTTTCTGGAAACCAGCCAATGCTTTGCAAAAGACTGGGCTTCTTTGGGACACAAACCAGGAAAATAACGGGATTTGGTATGATTATGGCAACTGTTTCTACTTTTAAATCAATTCCATTCCAGTTTCTGGATTCTCAATAGTTCGGTAAATGGATCCATCATTCTCTCAAAGCACTTAGTTTTTCTCGTACCAAGACAGACATTAAGAAAAAGCCGTTAGAAACGTGTTACAGGGGCAACAATTATGCCAATTTTCAGGAACCAAGTATAACTAATCTACTCACTATTTCCGCACTGTTTCATTGCATGAGTAGCCTTATCTAGAGTCGGCCACCAATCACGCATATTGTAAATTAAGCAATGTTGTATTCAAAACACTTCAGTTTCTAATCACATGCAAACCACATCACCGTCTGCTACAAATTGGTCAAATCACCTGAAGAGGACCTTGCTCTCGTTGAGCTTCGGCTCGTCGTCGATCTCCACGGGCAAGACATTATGTTCAGCCGTGATGTCACTTTCAGCCGTGACGCCGCCTTCAGCCAAGTCGTCTTCATCGCCCAGTTTATCCTCCTTCGACGCCTTCTTGTTTTGAGCAGACACAAAATCTGCCAGTTCACAATTTGCCTCCCAAACGCAGAGCTGGCCGTTACGGCTCAGCGTGTACAGGTCGGCCGAGTCCTTCTCGAAAAAGCAGTTGACGATGACGTCGCTGTGGCTGCCGAGAGTCACCATTGCGAAGTTTGTCATCCGGTGGAGCGCAAACACCTTGACGGACATGTCCTTGCTTCCGACGGCAAGCAGACGGGAGTCGGAAGACCACTCAATGCACATCGTCTCGTCATAGGCGGTCGTGATGACGCGCTCGAGCGCGAACGGCACGTATTCCCGTCTTGTGTGCCCCGGCGTTCTGTACACAAACACTGCATTGTCCTTGCTGACAGCAAAGTATTTCCCATTAGGGCTGAACTTGACGCAGGCTACCGGTTTCCGGAAATGGTGCCGGTGGAGGACAGTGCGACTGACCAGACTGCACAGCAGGGCTTCGCCTGTTAGAGAGAATAAAAAGAAATAAACGGACCGTTCCTGTGAACAGCAAGCAAACTAATGACTATCACCATCACTATATATTTTTTTTTTTTCCGGCAGCTTGGTATAAATGTGGCAGCTGGCTAAAATGTTTTTGCAGTATGTTTCCGAGCCTTTTCTGGCATGGCAGTAATGCTCACAATGTTTGCAAACAAGCCCACATTTGTCCACACCAGGTGTGGGTACTGCACGTGTGCAAAAACCTGATTCTTATGGTTCTTAATTTCTAGGCTAGGTGGCGCAAGCTACCGTCTGATATAGTGGGTACAGCCGTTAGCATCCATCTATCTGTGAGGTGGATGGATGGATGTTAATGGCTATACCCCTTGCAACAGGCGGTAGCTTGCGCCACCTAGCCCAAGTCTAAGAAGACAACCATATGATTGCTACCATTCTTCTATGCCAATTTTCTCCCCCTAACACTGTACTCCTGCACTCCCAATTTTGGCCTGTATTAAAGCTGATGTCTCCCTTTTCCGCACTTGGAAGTTCTCGCATTTTGATGCTACTTCAACTGGCAAAGAAGGTTCCCCTTTTCTTTGCCCACCTATACTCCTTAGATGCCTCTTAGTGCTGCAACATGGCTGCTTTGACCTCCTTATCTCACCAGCTTTGGTTTGTGTCTTTGTTTTTGCTTTCCTCTTTGTTTAATTCTATGCTTCTCTAATTATTTTTTTTTTTTTAAGATTCCTATTAGATCCTCATACGTCCATTCTCTTTCTGCCTATTTCGATATTATGTTCTCAATACTTTGATACTTTTTGTATTTGAGCTTTACTTAGTTTCAGCTTACCTGCTCGTTACTGAGCTTGTTGTTCTGGTTAGGATGCACCAAATTTAATCTTAATTATTTTTCATGGTCACTCTCTAAGCTTTTTGTACCTTCCTCATCTATTTCCATTCTTCCTAGCCTGTCATACAGTTTGTGGGACATGAGGCAATAGTCTATCGTTGAGTGTGAATTGTTTTATTTCCACATTATTTTCCTGTCACAGTTTACTTGTGCACTAACTAACATTAGGTCCAGGGCATCACAGAAATCTTCTAGCAACTTTCCGGTTCTATCTGTGAATCCGTCAAACTCTTTTTAAGTGGGCATCCATGTCGCCTATGATAATTATTTCCTGATTAAGACCAATTTCTCTTTGTCCCTCGATATACAGATAAATTGTTCTGTATTTTCCCCCCTTGAGTCATTTCCTGTTTTCAGGAAGCAAACCCCAGAAGAGTGTTTAGACCTGTTACCCTACCTTTCAGCCATAAGTGTTCTCTGCAGCTTTCCTTCTCTCTTTCCCAATCTCGTCTTAACTAACAGACCTAGACCTCCCCCTCTACGTTCACCTCCCCCCCGGTTGCATTCCATCCAGGAGTAGCCTGGTATGTATGGTGGTTCCTATTCATCTCTGAGGTGAGTCCCTGCTGAAAATTTCACTGTGAAATTTTCAGCCTCTTTCTGGCTGTTTCGATACTATGTTCTCAATACTTCTAGATACTTTTTGTATCCGAGCTTCACTTAGTTTCGGCTTACCCGCTCGTTCCTGAGTTCGGATGCGCCAGATTTAATCATAATTGACCTTTTTCAGTGTTTGGCCATGATCGTGACGCGCCCTCGCGGGAATCGCTCGAAACACTTTTGGTGGCTCCGGGAACGTCTCTCCGTCGTCCGCGCCAGGCCTGGCTTGTCTGCCGGTCCATGTGTTTGCGTGTGTTCTCTGGTGGCGTTGTTCTTTTCTTTACCAATTTGTATGTGTCTTTCTGTCGTCACTTCGCATGCATATTTTCTTCGAAATGGCTGAGAAGGACCTGGAGGATTAACAAAAGTTTAATGTCTAGGATACAGAGGACCTTGTTCGTTTTTATACCTTCAGGGATGGATAGACCGCCGACGCCGCATCGGTTCTTACCATCGACTCGGAGTAACTTCGGTGTCGTGTCTTGCAAGCAACTAAAAAAAGGGGTCTGCTTCCAAAGCAAAATCGCAGATGTTATGTAAGGAATGTAATGGTGATCAGCTTGGATACCGACCCAACCATCTACCTTGTGCGGAGCTTGTGAGCTCCATTTATGATTCCCGGCCACTACAACCAGCTGATTTCACTCTCCTTGATCGCCTAAGTCATCCTCTGTCCTGTGTACCGCACAATGGCACGGAACACTGCCGTATTCGGGAATGTGTAAACAAACTCGGGCGGTGCGAAATCCGAGCAGTCTTGATATCGCGAAGGATTGCCTGCACCGTCGAAAAGTAAGGAACGGTATGTTAGAAACAATCCATCTTTGAATTCGGCACGTTTACGAACCTTCGACAAAGTGGGCCAAGCAAACTGATGGGTTCACGGTTGGTTGCCAAGAAGTTTCATCAAGGTTAGTTGTCTCCGTAAGGCTTAAATTCGTTTCGCTCACTTTAAATGTTTTGTCAGTTTTTTTTTCGTTGTTTTTTTAATTTGGCAAGATGCGAATGTGTATAGCGCACGCCTGAAGAACAGACAGCTTTACGTATTTATTTTTTAATGGAGTAGAGGGTATGGCATGATTACGTCGCACAACCTCGTTTGCATGTTTACTATTAACAAAAAAATGGTCAAAGGGCAGGCGAGCTGGTGTAAGTTTAACATGATGGAAAACTTGATATATGAATACATGAAAGCTTGATGGAACATCGAGGACAGAGACGGAAAGAGTACTTCTTTCAAGAAGTCCTGTATCCGTCCCCATCCTTGATGTTTTATCCTTTCATGTATTCGTATCTATTCACCAACACTCTCATTTTTAATTATTAAACCTGAGACTGAGGTAGGAAAAGGAAAACGCAAAGGAAAAACGGGCAACGTCTCAAGAGACGTTGCCTTTTCTTTTTCTGTGTCCTTTTGCGTTTACCTTTTCCTACCCCAATTTCAGGTATATCATCAGGTTGACATTTCTGTATTTTAGTTAAAAGCAGAATGTATCGCTGTCACATTGATGATCCCGCCACCTGACACGGGGGACTCTCGTCATAGGTTTTTGAAAGCCGGGCAAAAAGGGCAGGGTGTTTGACATCGGGTGCTTTCGTGGACTACCCGCCAAAAGCTACAAAAACTTTATAAAATTTGGCATTTTAACAACATTTACTTCTATTTCTGCAACCTTCTGCTGCGTGATGGTGAGGCATGGCGACTATGAAGCCAAGCCGCGAGAATACCGGAGGAGTCAAGCATAACCAGCACTGTCTGAGCGGTCGAGAGAACCACCAAAAATGGCGCCTTTCCCTTTTTTCTCCTCTCTCAGAGTCGGCGCATGCGCCCAGAAATCTCTGAAAAAGGTCAATTCTTTTGTGGTCACTCCCTAAGCTTACCTTCTCGAAGCGTCTGCACGTGCTTCACTTCAGCTGAGCAAACGCTGGAGAAGAGCGTGACTGGAGAGGAGGGAATCACCAATGATGGCGAGCAGAGAGCTTTGTGGGAAGGGCTTGAATTGAGTTTTATAAAGGCCGACAACCAGTTCGCGCTTTCCACTTTTCCCTCTATTCCTCCTATCCCCTCGTCTACCCTGGCCACCTTTGCCTGCTTCCTCCTCTCCCATGGTGAGGAAGATCTTCTGCCTTGCAGAATCTCGAGTCTGGTCGTCGGCCTTCAACCAGCCACATACGATACAATAGAGTTTTCGGTTGGCTAGAGCGTTTTCTTCGCGGTACATTACCGGTCCGGTTCTTGCATGGCGGGAACGGGAAATTGACGGTTACCGATGTCGTGACGTTCACACAGCTTCCGGGTGCACGGTAAGGGTACGGTAACGGTATGCAACTGCACTCACCCGTTTCGTTGATGGCAATAAACAGATAGCCCGATGGTGCGATGTCGACGGCCGTGAAGTTGTACCGGCTCTCGATAGGCAGGGTCTCCGATTTGTTGTTTCGGAGGTCGAAAAACGACAGGCGGTTCCCGACCGGCGTGACGACGGTGTTGCCGTCGGGTGTGAACAGGAGGTTGCCCTTGCGGTACACCGTACCGATCAGGTTGGAGAATTTGAAGGCGAACTTCATCTTGTGTCGAAATTCGGCGTCTTCCTGGAAGAGGTGGCAGAACTTTAAGTTCTGCTACGAGTACGTTCCCATGCGGAAGCACGCTATTCCGAAAAACAGAGAAAACGTGTTCGACGCCGGAGCCGCCATTACGGCTTGCCCAGTGTTGACTCTGCGGCACTCAAAAACAACCGCGTTCCTTACAACGGTTAAAGTGAACTTTACAACGGTACAACCGTCTGCGTTTTTTGTTTTTTTTTTTGTTCTACGTATAACTAAAATTATTTCCGAACAAGTTTTGATTTGGGCAGTTTTAGTTTTCTACAGATGTCAGACTTTAGAAAGTACCAACCAACGAGGTTGGTACCAACGCAAAATACCATCGCAAAATACGAACCTAGTTATCATCATCAGCAAACAGATGCGGAGTCACGTGACCCATGGTCGGTTTACGAGATTCAAAAGCGTTCGTTTGCGTTCGACAATCCGACAGTCGCCAGTCACGATTATTGTGATACGTTGATCGCTTCGTCAGCTAGTGAGATGCGCTTAGCGTCGTGAAGCAAACACGAACGACAGAATCGGAATCATCGGCTACCATGGCAGACAACAACGCCGTTCCAGAAACCACGGACAAGTAAGTCGTCGACTCTTCACACCCTTGTATCTTTTTGGAAATTTTGGAAAGTCATGGACCTTTTGTAGAAACATCGGTTCGAGAGTAAATGGTAGTTGTATCCTCTCTCACTTTTTTCTGGCCGAGCAGAGAGGGAAGATGGTTTCTTTCTGTCGACTTCGGGACAGAAGATATTCCACGATGGGGACAAAGGCGAGTTTGGGAAACCGTATCTGGGTCATAGCGGCTTAATGGGCGAACAGGATGTGGCTGACGTTTTGGGTTTCGAACGGGTGGGAGAGGCCTTGCGCGTGCGTTGTTTACTAGCCACTTAAAGGGCTGTTTATACTCCAACGTCGATGAACGCAACGCGCGCCGGCGCAGACCGACGTTCGTCGGCCACTTCGCCGCGCCGAGAAGCGCCCGTACGATGGTGTTTACCGTCCAGCGTGGATCAAGCGCCCCGACGCACTGCCCCACTTTGCGCATGCGCGTCTCCGTGGCAACCGCATTGTCTGTATGGGTTATCGATGGGCGGTAGCTTGCGCCCATCGATAACTCGTGTTGCCATGTCACGCTTCAAAACAACCATTCGGGGTAGCGGTTAGGAGTTCGAAAACAAGGAAATGGTGATAACGAGTGAAAACCAGCATTCATTTTCTCCTAAATGTCATAAAAGTGTTAATACAAAACACACAGGAAACCCGACATTGCGTTTGTCGAATTTAGCTGCTTCGCAGGTTCGCCGGAATCGTGCCAAGCGATTCCGGCGTCGGTGAGCGTGAACGAGCGTGTGCGCTCATTGACGTTACGACAGAGTATGAACAGCCCTCCGGTCTCGAACCCAGTCCCATGTCTAGGTGGCAGCACATGTTCGCCAAGAGGTGGATTGTAAGCACGCTGCCGTGCTCGCGTTAAAGCTCCTTGCTCTATTTATGTTTGTCCTGCCATTGCAAATGTCGGAAAATCACAACTTTTTAATGAGATAACGTTTAGCGCTGAAGGTCTGGCATCTGGTTCTGCATTGGGCACGGAAGGCATTTAAATATTTATACATGAAAAGTTTAAACACAAAATTGACAAACTGAACCCAAAAAGCTTACATTTAAATGCCTATACACTAGTGGTGGGGCTCAGCAGACTACTTCAGTAGAAAATGGAGTGAAGGAGGCAGGAAAAAAAATGAGACGTTTCCAACTCCCTGCAATGCTGAATTAGAGCTCAGCTCTTAAGGAGGAGAAGAGGTACGAAGGGGAGGGTAGGCTCCTCCTCATCCTGACCACTCATTCGAGAAGTTAACTGTCACGCTTTTAGAGTCTGGATTTAATTCACACAGCTAGCGGGAACAGAAGGAATCGTCCCCAATCCGTGAGCTCAACACACTCTGAAGGGTGTGTTGAGCTCACGGATCCCGGCATATTAACACCACAAGTCATTGAGATCTATATAAAAAAAAGTGGAGGCAAGAATTAAATTGAAGTCCCATTTGCAGCTAAGAGTTGAAGAGCAATTTCCACAACTTCAATTGAAAATCCCCAATAACTTTGTTTTTTTGGTGTTGCTTTGTTTTTTGTTTTACATATATTGCAATATTGCGATTTCCCAAATTTTAGCATGCAATTAACCACATTCTTCACAAAGGAAGCTTTTCATCCTACTCAACATTCATTATTTGTTGAAATTCGGCGAGATGAGAAATGAAACCTTAAAAACGCGCACTTCGCAATGAGCATTGGTCCCTATCTGGCCCTCGGTACTTAAACCTGGTAGGTTGAAGACTGAGGCTGGACTTCACTGTCAGGATAGGTCTTCCAATCCCGTTATAAAGATGTCAGCACCAAAATGTTTCTAAAATGTAATTTCACGGAGAAAAAATTGAATACCGCATTAAAGCCACCAGAGAGCGAAATTTTCGGCTTGTGTGGTCCATAATCGCTGACTATAGACCATACGGCCGGGCATCTCCATCAAAAGCCCGTCTTGCATGTGTTGCCTTGTCGCAACAGCGCTGACTTGAACGTAACTTCGCACTGATGCTGTGAACGCTGTAGCACTAATATTCTGCAGAGTCAGCACCTTGCATGAGACTCGCGTCGAACCTTTCCCGGGAAAGTATGATTGAAGTAAAGAATTGAGTCTGAAACGAGTATCCCATCATTGTATACAGAGTTGTTTGCATTACAGGGTGGATCAGGTATGGCTGGTGCAAGTAGATTTCGCTTGTGTTGTGCCTCAAAACGGGTCTCGTGATGGTCATATTTTTTTTTTTTTTCTCTTTCTGCTTTCAGCACCGCCGAAGTTGGAAAGCGCAGACGATCTTCGGTAAGAAAGCAGATTCAATGACAGTTCTTTCTGCAAGGTTTAAAACTTGTTCCCTTCCCCTGCTTGCCATTGTTGAGATGATTACGAATCGATAAAATAGAAAAATAAGTTGAGAAATTATACATACAAGCAAAGTGCTGGCTTGCAGCATTGTTTTGTGTACTAGAAAAGCAGAAAATGCACAGAGTGTGTTTCTTGTGTGTAATTTATCTATTTTTTCTAGAAAAAACCTTCCTTCCGAGTTGGCGTCCAATCCTTTGTGCCGGATAGTGGTCCGCTTATTTCTGCGATGCGCTTTCATTCACAATCTACAAAGGAGTGTCTATTTTCATCCTCGTTAAATTGCAGACTCTCCATAGCTAACTTCACATTAAAGCTCGGTTAAATTTTTTAAACTATGAAATACATGGAGAAGTTTATATATCGTGCCAGGCAGTGTAAAGTAGCCCATCCTGGATCACTCAACCTAATGATGATTGTTGCACCCATGTGGCATTCCGTTTCACCTCTCCAAACACACCATCTAAATTTACGTTCATGTTTTTTCTTTTATCTTCTCTTTAAATGGTTGCCATCATGGCCATCCTAGGAAGGCAGTTTTAAGTGATTTCAGTTTGTTAGCCCCTTCACTACCAACTACGACCTTGGGTTGTTCGCATGCCAATGCCCATTTTCTGTCAGCAATTTTCTGAAAGCTGCAAAGACGAGGTGATATTGCTGTCTCATTCCTTGTTAACCTTTTGAGTGCCGGTGTTTTTTCCCCGCATGCGAAACACATTTTGTTCTAAGTGACAGTGTAGCATGCCCTGTAAAAAAATTGTTTATTTATAAGACATTGTTTTATGGGCAAAAGTTAATTGATGTCTGCATGCCTTCAACCTACAACATATTTCTTGTATTGTACTTTTTGAGACATGGTGCTGTTCACTGGCTCCTCGGCCTTGCAGTGGTGTCTCTTTTCAGCGGCCTTTCTCACCCTTTGTTTGTTTGGAACAGTAACTAATACTGCTAACCCTTGTGGGTTATTGCAGGAGGGGATACAATAACATTTACAAAGATGAATAGCACAAGAAGTATACATTGCATAATTCTAATTACACGGTTATTGAAAAAAAAGAAAAGGAATTTCAACTACTTGTTAGAAAACCAATCCAGCAATTTTTCTTAAAAGGCTTCGACAGAAGAGACATCCATGAAAACATTCGGGGGTGATCTAATCTACTTTGATGGTCGTCGCAAGGAAAGGATATTCATAAATATTGATATTGCCTAAATATGGGTAAATTCATAATTAATTGTTTAAATGTCGTTGAACACAGAGCGAAACATTGTCAAATACAGAGTTTATTATTAATTTCTACATCTCAGTATTTACAACAAAGTGCTAGGTTGAACAAGATTCAACATTCTGTAAAAACAAAAATATATTCCCCAAATAAGTTTCAAAAAAGTAAAAAAAAAAAGCCTATTTGGGAGGGTCAGTGAGGAAACTCGACCCAATGGACCTTTTTCCAGTAAGGAGTGCCCCATGACGGTTTCGCCGCCTACTACAAATGGAGGGCACCCGGACTCGCCTTCTCCCATAGGAACAGATTAGTGTCGCGAGAAAACAGTGCCCCCCAAAAATGGCGAAAGGGCGGTCAAGGTCAAGTGGAAAGGGTGTGCGCGTGCGCAGACGCTTACTGGAAAAAGGTCCATTGGAAAGGTGCCAGTTTGCTCTGGCGTTGCATAAGGGTTGAAGTGGTAGCGGAGCTGGGACTGTAGGTTGGGGGGGGGGGGGGGGGGGGGGGGTAAGCTCTACCACCAATTGTGATAAGTTGAGCATGTTGGTACCTACTTGGAAAAAAAGAAAAGCTTGAACTTGGGGAAGACACAGAGAGTAATTCCCCAAGTTCAGGCTGTTTTTTTGTTTTTTTTTTTCCCAAGTCTCTACCGCCAACTTTTGAGGTGTAAAAACACTTGTGGGTTTAGCGTGGAGGAAATCTCTTCCCATTTTTCGACCCCTCTTTTTCTTGGCAGCTATGTCGAGACACATCTCAACAACTCAGGAATGTAAGCCTCGGTATCATCTTTAAAAAGATACTGTTGTTTCATTGTCTCGGACATCATAACTTAGGAAAAGTCCCACCTAAGCAACCTTGTTTTCCGGAGTTTTTTTTTTGGGGGGGGGGGGGGGGGGGGGGGGGGGAGGGGGAGGGGGAGGGGGAGGGGGAGGGAGGCGAGGGGTTGGACAGCATGTGTGTTTGGCTGCATGAACCTGCAAACAAGTATCGAAGAACAACTATTGCTACAACCAGTGTTTTGCTTTCATTCGGGATTTCCTTTAGCATAGGCAATGCATTATTTGTTTCTCATTGTCGGAAACATTCCAAAGTTGCTTTTTTAGAGCGCAGATCTTAGGCGCCCGTTTCCGGCTTGAGAGGTGTCGCCTTTGGCGTAACCGCGCAGTGCATTATGGGTAAATTTCCCCGTTAAATCTAGCAGAAAAATTTCCCCGCTAAATCTAGCAGAAAAATTTCCCCGCCAAATCTAGCAGAAAAATTTCCCCGCCAAATCTAGCAGAAAAATTTTCCCGCCGAATCTAGCGGAAAAATTTCCCCGCCGAATCTAGCGGAAAAGTTTCCCCGCCGAATATAGCGGAAAAATTTCCCCACTGAAACTAGCAGAAAAAATTTCCCCGCTGAATCTAGCGGAAAAAATTTCCCCGCTGAATCTAGCGGAAAAAATTTCCCCGCTGAATCTAGCGGAAAAAATTTCCCCGCTGAATCTAGCGGAAAAAATTTCCCCGCTGAATCTAGCGGAAAAAATTTCCCCGCTGAATCTAGCGGAAAAAATTTCCCCGCTGAATCTAGCGGAAAAAATTTCCCCGCTGAATCTAGCGGAAAAAATTTCCCCGCTGAATCTAGCAAAAAATATTTCCCCGCTGAATCTAGCGGAAAAAGTTTCCCCGCTGAATCTAGCGGAAAAAGTTTCCCCGCTGAATCTAGCGGAAAAAGTTTCCCCGCTGAATCTAGCGGAACAAGTTTCCCCGCTGAATCTAGCGGAAAACGTTTCCCCGCTGAATCTAGCGGAAAACGTTTCCCCGCTGAATCTAGCGGAAAACATTTCCCCGCTGAATCTAGCGGAAAACATTTCCCCGCTGAATCTAGCGGAAAACATTTCCCCGCTGAATCTAGCGGAAAACATTTCCCCGCTGAATCTAGCGGAAAACATTTCCCCGCTGAATCTAGCGGAAAAAATTTCCCCGCTGAATCTAGCGGAAAAAACTTTCCCGCTGAATCTAGCAGAAAAAACTTTCCCGCTGAATCTAGCAGAAAAAACTTGCTCGCTGAAGCTAGCAGAAAAAATTTCCCCGCTGAATGTAACGGAAAAAATTTCCCCGCTGAATCTAGCGGAAAAAATTTCCCCGCAGGTCACGTGACCCCCGAGATCACGTGACACCCCCAGGTTACGTGACCCCCACATGATTTTGGGGAGGGGGTCACGTGTGACCCCACCAGTTACGTGATCTCAGGGGGGGGGGGTCACGTGACCTTTGTGTCCTTGGCTCCTCCACCTCAAGAGCTGCGCTTGAATTCGGCAGTATGTGTTCGAATCGAAGGTGTGTGATCGTGTACGATGGAAGCTTGGCAGGCCAGAGTCATCACATTTTTTTTTTTGATGATTGTTAAGGTTTTTAAAGGGGTCAGTCCTATTCTGGGCGAAGGAAGTTGAGGGATAGAAGTCTGATTGCGGAAATTTCTGTCTTGTCTAGATCCTGAAAGTCCCAAAGCCCAGCACCGCAGACGCCGACAACAACACCGTGAGTTGCCAGGTCATGTACCAGCTTTCTGAAGGCCGTGACAAGTGGCTGTTTTTTTTTTTTTTTTGGTGTCGGTGAGTCAAGTGGCTGTAGATTTAATCTGATTGCCGACGCTCTTTCTTCCTTCCTGCAGATCGTCGACGTGACGGAAAGGCGGGCCAGCAAGCGTGTCAGCTTTTCGAACCTTCCCCAAATCAAGTGGGTGCTTTTCGCGAATTTCTTAACTCTGTCTATGTTTGCTGTATAGTGCACGGTATCAAGTAGAGATGTCCTAAGCCTCCCGAGATTCAAGTTTGACAGGTTTGGGCTTGCACACTCGGCAACTTTCAAACTCCTAGTTTGCGATGTTCAAAGTTTCTGAATCTTGCGCAGGTCTGAGTTTTGCAGTTTCAAATTTATGTCTTTGTTTTATTTACATCTCCTGCCTTATATCTTTGGGCTTATCTTTACATAAAACAGTATTTTCTCATTTTGAAGCTCGCACATGAGCTGTGGAAAGGCTCGAGGCAAAAACGCACCTTTGCCACCAGATCACTTGCTGGTTTGGCAGCTTCACATGCTTCTTGGAGCACTTGGTGTAGATTGTTGGTTTTCTACAACAACAATCACGCTCAAGTTGCATTACCACCCTTTCCCATTTTCATCTTCTCGTCCGCATAGTGTGAGCATGGTCGTTGGCAATTTGCAGCAGTTGCTAATTGTTCGAAACAGGTAATGTAGGGTGCGATTAAAGGGACCATGAAATGATTTTAAAATCGAGTTTCATCCACCGCACGTCGTAAAAGGTGTGAAAAGAAACACAAAAACACAAAACTAGGGAGCCCAAAAAAATTATTTGCTGTAGAACTTTTAAAAGAAAACTGGACTCTTTTGCGCCTTCCTTCCTTCGCCTGTTCACTACGATGCATACGCAGAATCGGTGCACGTCAGCCGAATCCACATCGCCTATTGGGTAAGAGCCTACCTCACCAGCACCGCGATCGTAAACAATAAATAGCCGGCGAATGTTTCCTAAAAGTTTTGTTAAATAATATTCAGATCCACATTTTGTAGCATAATTAGAGATGTGTGGCGAAAATTGCCAAATTTGATAATGCTGAGAGCCAAGCGCCATCTATCGTGTGGTAAACGAAGCAACTACTGCGCGTGCGCAGTAGGGCAGGGCCGCCGGTTACTTGGGTGACGGCGACCGACGAACATTTATTTTCTTTGTTTTCCTTCCTCTCAAAACTCTGACTGACTGAACGTTTATTTTTCTACGTGTTCTTCCCGCGCGTGCCGACTTCAAGCAGCAAGAAAACAGTACTTAAAACAGACCACGACGAACAAGAACGCTGGATTCACCGACTCCGACGAAGCGTATAGGCCTAGCAGGCATTCCGACTCGGCGCTGCGTTGCTTCGTCGCAAGACCGTCTGCCTACGACCGGCTGGCGTGCTAAATGGAATATGCCCGCGCGACCCTTGTGGACCCTTCCCGTATTATAGTTTGATCACTGACCTCAATTCTAGATTAAGAGGTGAGGAGGTCAATCTCTTCCCCTTGTTTTCCGAGGCAGTGTTGACGAACACTCGTCGAAAAGGGACTCTCGTCGATTCTATCTTCTTGTTTTGTGTGATATAGAGCTGAAATAAACGCCGTATGGATTGCCTTCGTAACACGGTATGTACACTTTGTTATTGGTATGCCATTTTTATTCTGACAGACTGCACGTCACTGTCGACCCCGGTCCAACCTTTCTTTGCCGAGTGTCGCGTCAGTATCGAGTTGCAATCGTAAAAGAACGGTCCCGAAGCGCTTACCAACAGCGCGAATACAAGACTTCCATCAAGCGCGCGCGTCCGCTCCGAGTGTAAGCAGGTATTTACGTGGCTCTTGCTGACACTCGTAGTTCAAACGTATCTTTTTTAACGTCGGCTCGCTCATGCATCTCCGAGGCCGCGAAAAACGCCATCTACGTCGCTTTGCAAACGACTGACACGGGCCGGCCCTTCTGCCAACAATGACGGGGTGGTGACAAGACTCGCTGCACTTCCCAACAGGCATACCGGCGTATGGGACTAGTCCCATGCTGTCGCTGTAGCGCAACATATCTCATTGAATTTCGCTCAGCTGCGATGCGGCGATGAGAGGCGCCGATTCAGGAAATACGTCGGTGACATCAGCGCAGTAAAACCTACCGGCGCACCCCAACTCGTTGCCGCTAACACTCCCATTCTCCTACTGCCGAGAGAACTTCCGGTTCCGGAAACTGTCTACGTCACGGCTTCTTTTGCGGTCAGTTGGAGAAATGAAAAAGTCGATATTTCAATAATTTTTTGTGTAAAAGTTAATAAACCGAGACGAAAACGGATGCCTGTTCGGCATTCAGTGAACATTGACGGTTTAATGTAAAAGTTATCTGGAAAAAGTAAAAAGGTCATTTCATGGTCCCTTTAAAGCAAGTTTTTGAAAAATTTGATTCATCATTGAACCATCTGGAGTAGTTCAAAGTTCATACATCTTTTTGAACTTCGGAGGTTGAGAAATAGACCCTTTGTGAAAATTCCGAAAGCCAGTGCGCGCCGTGCGACGAATAATGGGAGTCCTTGGTATGTCCCTCCTCCCGCTACCATGTGGCATACGCAAGCAGGCGCAGGCTACCACGGCAACGACTTTTGAGCAGCCGAGTCGAGCGAGCGGTGAGCCAACGACTGCCCCTTTCTCATCCCTCTCCTTTGTACCGGCTCTGTCATCTGCTGCACCAGCGCTTTGTCAAACCTGGTCGAAACCTGCCACGGTTGCGGTGCAAACTAGATGGATTCGGTGACAGTTCATTATGTGAATGTAAGTTACGACGAATAACGTATTGAAACAAGTTCACCTGTCGCGACGCCTTTACGCTGCCACAGATATGGTATGCCACCAACGACGTACAACTCGGCGGATGGGCGGGACGGCGGATGGCTGCAATGGCTGCTGGCGGTAGCCCGGTAGATGTTGGGACACGCGCGCAGTCGCAGAGGCACGACGGGAAAGCGCGTGATCTGTACCGAGGGTTCCCAAAATTCCCTGCCGTCGTGGCACTGTACGTTTTGCAAAGGGTCTATTGGCACATTTTTCAATGCCTTAAGTTTAAACGTTTGAAAATCGGTGAATCCCTTAACATAACAGGTAAGCTTGCAGATGATCAAACTTCTCAATGTAGCAAGTTTGAAACAATTTGAAGCCTTCTAACCCCTTGGTTCAACTTTTGAACTTTGAGTTTGCGGCATCTCTAGCGGTGAGGTACATCCCATACAATCGTTGTAACGAACGGGGCAAATGTTCCATTTCAGGCTCTTTCCAGCTGACACGGCCGAGGCTGGCTCCTCTGTCGGTGAGATTGCTTTGCTCTCCTTTCGGTGTCGTTTAAAAAGCACATTACACTATGTTGACACTCCATTGATTTTTTACTTTAGAGCAGGGGTCTCAAACACGTGGCGTGGGGGCAACTGGCTACGACTCTCTGTTCCCAATTTTGAGCGCTAGAAATGACATGTGCTATAATGATCTCATCTTGCCGATTCATTTTCGCTCGAAAAGTAGCTCTGCTCTTTTAACATATTTACATAGCTTATACTTACCTGTGTTCACTTGCTCCTTGTTCCACTTTTTTTTTTTCTTTTTTTGCCTTTCCAGCTTTTTGTAATGTAGAACAATTTTGCTTGGCTGGAAGCGCGAGCTCTTTGTTGAAGGATGCATGTCGACTGCACAAACTCTCGATAAGCAGGAGCAGCTGCCGAAGATAAACCTACGAGCGCGGGTTCAGAGTGTTATAAAAATCACCAGGAAGCAATAACTAGTTGTTTTTTAGAGACGTGTTGAGCTTAGGTATTTTGCAAGTGAATTGAGTAACAGGAATGGAGTACTTGTTTTCTTGTTCGTTTAAAAATGCCAGCATGTTGGCGTGTCGGTGTCATTTTAGTTCTTGTTATCGCATTAGGTCGAGGTACAAAGTAGTCGTACACAAAAGTTTACGTTTACGAAAGCATAGAGCACGAGTTCTCTTCTCTCAAAAAATCCCCCCGGGGTCTTAAATTGGCCCTCGACCTTTCCGGCGTTTGTGTGTGGCCTCCACACTCAAATGAGTTGGAGACCACTGCTTTAGAGGATGGGTCTCAAATTTGACGAATTAGTTTTGGACACCAAACAAACTTTCCAGCACGCTAATAGTTTTGATGCTCTTCCTTTGACGATAGGAAGCTCTTGCTTATCAGTTTTGCACACCCCAAGCGTATGTGCGTAGCCAAACCACAACGAAAGGCGACTGGTACATACTAGAGGTTGGGCGTATGTTTTTATGGTCGTACCGATCTTGCTCGTAGATGCTTACAAGTTACAACTGTTAAATGGCTGAAAATGGGATGCTGATAGGTCGACCTTAGTAGTAAATGCTGTTGTTAGGGCCCCCCAGAAAAGTCCTTAAGAATTGTTTTAGCAAGACCGTGTAGCTCGTAAGTGGTGTCAGGTTTTCAGTGGATATTGTTCACCTCGGTGGCCAGCAATTGTTTGAACCATTTGTGTGCTTTTTCTTTCTGTGGCAGCTGATTCAGGGGGCGAACACGAGCCTGCGGTTGGCACCGATTGGTATGTGATGGACGCATTCCCTGCGGTCTTTTGGTTGGACTGTTTGAAAGTAAACCACCTAGTGCGGTCATGCTGCCGTTTGGTCGTCGGGTACCTCGACAAAGCAAGGTTGTAATGTGTTAATGCCACCAAGTGGCAAATTTTATAACTACGGTACATAGACTCCGAGAGATCCTGCGACGTTGCGGGCGCAACCTGGCACGATGGATGTCCCGAGACACATTCCGCTCTCCGATGGCCAAAATTGAAGCGCCCGCCGAAATCTGGCATTCAAAATGAAAAATACAGCCATCCTCTCGAAATACAATTGTGCGATCATCATTTTCAGGTACTATTCATACTATTCAACTTGTTTGTGAACGTTGTCGTGCATCTGAAGTTTAGGTTCGGTATCTATTTAACCTGTCGCCAACAACCGGACGTCGAACATATTTTGCAGCCGCCTGTCCGACATTCATTTTAAGCTTTTCTATTGGTGCTCGTGTGTACCTAGCATTGAAGCAAGCCATGGCTGTGCCCTCTTCACTTGTTTATTGGCACAGAAAGTTGTTCACTACGTAATTTGTTTTAATAACTTAAATCTGTCTTGATTTTAATACAAAATCCAATTGCTCGTCGGTGTCGGTCAGCACACATTTTACATGAACAAAAAGTAAGAGCGCAAACGAGCTGGTGTACATTGCACATGGTTGAAAAAACCCCAAGACTGCGGGTAAACGACGCAACACTAAAAAGTCTCTACTGAGACTTTTTAGTGTTGTGTCGTTTACCCGCAGTCTCGGGTTTTTTTCAACCATGTACATTTTACATAGTTTCTAATTTGGAAGACTTGTTATGGGAAAAAAGGAACCGCAACTGATAGGCCCTTAAGACTTCTCCCCCCTCCCAATTCAACTCCATTGGGCCTTACCTCTTAGTGAAATGTCGGTTTTAATCTTGAATTTTGAATAAGTCTTCCATAATAAATACCCCAGACTGGGGTCAAGAAAAAGTGGACAGGACAAATACCAAATACAGTAAGCTTTCAATAGTCTGACCTCGGTTAATTCGACTTTTCGTTTAATTCGATCGTGTTCAAAAGTCTTGGCGAGTGCCCATACATTTCTATGGGAGGAAAGGTTCGATAGTTCTAACTCGGGAAGACTCCACTTCGGATAATTCGACCCGAGCGAATGCGCGCGGCACCATGGCAGAAAAACCACCGATGTACGGCTAAACACGGGAACTTTGCTGCAAAGCCGGACGTGTGGAAATATGCGCCTGCTCCTCTACGCCGTTGAGATGGACCGTAGCGAATGACACGAGCCATCGCAACCAATCTTGCGTGGAGTAGTGCGGAGAACATAGCACGTGGTCGGGCGCGGAGACAGCGCGCACTCTCAAAGCGCTTTTTTGTAGCATCATGTGCGGTCCATCTTGTGCGCCGGAAAACGCGGGTTTTCTTTTCTTTTTTTTGTTTTGTTATTTTTCTTTGTCGGTGATGGTCTGGCCGCCCGGCGCCAAAGTCTGCTCGCTCAGCGCATGCTCTAAAAAGCGCTTTTCTGCAACATCGTGTGCAGTCCATCTCGCGCGCGGGACAGCGCGGCTTCTCTTTTTCTTTTTTTTTTTCTTTTTGTTATTTTTTTGTCGCCGAGTACGCCGACGTTCTGGCTGCCCGGCGCCAAAGTCGGCTCGTAAAACTTTTTTCTTTTTTTTAATTATAGTGTGCGATTTTTTAGGGGCCCTCCGGAGCATGCTTTTGGACACGCGTTTAAAGCGCAGACGGCAGCGGCCATTTATGAGCACTTCGGACAACAAAAAGAAAGTCTACTTTTAAGTTTTTCTGTCCTTGTTTTAATTCAATCATTTGGATAATTCAACCAAATTTCAAGGTCCCGTCGAGGTCGAATTAACGAGAGTTTACTATACCCTGGGTTCGTCATAATCATATTCGATTTACACCAGCTTGTTTGCACACTTGTTTTTTGTTAATTGCCCTACCCAACTTTAGCACGTCGTTCCTTCGCCTACTCGGCTTCGTGCAGGTCTGGAGCCATGTCCACCACGGTTGCAAACGACTGCTGCCCGGAAGACACAGCCGACCCCTTTGTGATCCTCCAGCGCCAAGACAATGTCGTGCATTTTCTGATGACTTTGCCTCCGGTCGATCCTAGCAAGAATAGTGGCGGGGCCTTCGACGACAGTCCGCTTGGCACCGAGGTGGCATCCAGGTACTTCTCTTTGGGTGAAGAGATGGAGATGACCTCCATGGACGCTGCTTCCGTAACTGCTCGGCCCCGTCCAACCGACCAGTCCACCTTGGGGGACGCCACAAACGTCGCTTTTGTCACAGAGGACGTCCCTGCGGCCGAGAGAAGTTTGCATCGACCTTCTAACCTCATGGACATGACTTGTGCGACGGAGACCTCTCTGCGTGTTCCGCCCGCTTCGTCTGCAAGGCACGATGTCATGGACATGACTTGTGCTGCTCGGACAGCTCTGCGTGAACTTCCATCTGCATTGTGCGCTTCAGCTGTGCAGATGGAGATGACCAACATCACCGAAACCGGAGTGCTCGGAGCTTCGTCTGTGCACTCTGCTACGATGGGTCCCATGGATATGAGTTGCGTCGCCATAACTGGTGCGCTTCTTCCAGGTGATGGCCAGGATTCTGTGCCTGCTGATAGCAATGTAATGGACATGACTCGTCAAAGTATGGCTCCTGGCAGTTTCTGGGCACAGTCAGTAGCACCGGACCCCACCGACCGTTGCCTTTCGTCAAGTCTCCGAGAGACGTGTACGGCACGCTGTGAGGAGCCAAAACAGCAAAACGATACTCTCAGAAGAGGGTCTGGCTTTGCCGTGGACAAACTTGAAGGTGCTGTCGGTCATCTGGGTGGGCTCGGAGACAATCTTGGAGGTGGGCAAGTCTCCAGAAGTGCCAAAGAGACAGAAGCAGCACCAGGTCTGCGGGGTTCTCTGCACACAGTCTTCGGTGCATCGCCAGCGAAAGACATGTGTGAAAGTTTGCGGAGTGGGGTCAAGGCGCTGACACTCGAGGCCTCGCAGACAGACGCTTCTCAACCGTCGTTTCCGTCGGAGTCGGACTCGCTGCCGCCACACGAGAGAACTGGATTCTACAAGAGCAAATCCAAGGGGCCGGCTGCAAGCGACGACTCGCTCGAACTGGACACGTCTGGCATGGAGCAGTCAGCGCCAGACACCACGATGCTCGTTCGCAAGTCAATGTTCATGCGAAACGTGCCGTTCCAGTCGACCATGATAGGCGAGGAGTACAGAGAGACCACAATGCCTGTCCAGGATGTCTCGAAATGCACTGTGGAGCACTTGGTCAAGAAAGCCGAAGAGGGCTCGCTTTCGAGAGCATTCCGGCAGTTGGTCGGAACCAATTCTGACGCGCAAACCGCGGGCGACATGGACCTCGAATTGACTCTTCTGGGCATGACGGGGAAGTCTACGATTGGAAAGTCTGCTAGGGCAGCCTCCACACATACCGTGTTGATGGAGGACAGCGATACTCTCCGTCTGCACAGTTTAAAGGTTGGCGGTGCCTTGGAAATGAGCATCGAGAAGAGCCACGCAGGATCCTTGAACCCCGTCGTAAAGGAGCCAAAGGACTGGAAGCTTTTTTGCGAGTCATCCGGTCATCAGATGAGAGCAAGCAGCGTCGCGTTTGCTGACGGAAGCGATGCTATGCCGGAGGATGTGGGCACACCTGCGGCGTTCAGCTCGACAAGTTCGTTTAGGCACCTCGACCACATCTTCTCTCCCAAGCAACCAGCATCGCACATGGAAGATGCGAGCAGGGTCCTCGGACCATCTGGATCAGTGAAGCAGACGAGATCTGTGCTCGGTATGTCTGCAATGGGGAACTTGGAAGGGCGGCGCGGCGAAGTCGCTTGTCCGGTAGAGAGGAGCTGTGAGTCAATCACCGTCTCGGGCAGAGAGTTAATTGCTCGCGGAACTGCCCAGCCTGCCGACGTTTCCGCGGATGTCGCCGACGAAAAGCTCGTGCGGCAGGACAAATTGGCGGGCGGCTCAAGAAGTGCGTCAAAGTCGCTCAAGGTTGCCAAAGATGTGGAAATGGGTGAAAGCGTCCGGCACGTCGGTGAAGCGACCAGGGGCCAAGAATGCTTGGTGACACACTCGCGGGGTGTGTTGAGGCCGCTAGAAAACTTTGAGACGCAAACTGTTGAAACAACAATCGCGGTAATCGACGACACAATCGAGAAGCGTAACAGATCTGCGACAAACCAGGCGGGGGCATCGGAGAAGATCGTCGGCATGACGGTGCAGAGTGCCAAGAAGCGGGAAACTGTCCCGCAGCATAGTGGCAACCAATCTGAAGAGCCGGGTGAACCGACTGCAGATGCCGAAAGACGACACGCCGACGTCGCAGTTGGCAGTGCCGAAGAACGTCGGTCCACCGGTGCAGCGGCTTCTCAAACTCCCACTACCGCAAGTGCGACTTCTGACCCGTCTGCATTGGGTCGTAGGAAAACGTTTGTCATCTCGAAAGAAAATGTAGTTTCCTTGTGTGGCATTGAAATTGTCCGACAGCGTCCCAGCGAAACCTTCACGCTTGCCAGAGAAAACGTTGCGAGCGCAATTGACGACCGCGGCGCTTGGAGCAGTCTTGCAAAGGCCCCCGATGCACAAATTGACTCTACCGTCAACGATGCCGCAACTGCTGGTCTAACAGCGGTGGCGTTTGACGAGCCCAAGGACGTCGCTTGCGAGCCAGCAATGCCATTAGAAAGGTCCCAGAAACTGCTAGAATTCGCGCTTCCCGCTTCACCTTTCGTCGAGGAAATGCTGCTCGACGTTGCCGAGCCATCCCTCGTGGCCATCAGCTTTGGTAGCATGAACGCCGAAGAAGATTTGCCTCGGACTGCAACACAGCCCGCTCTCTTGAAAGATTTTGGTTCCATCTGCGATTACCCAGACATCAGCGGCATTTCTGTGGTGGCTCAAGAAAAGAGTGCGGTCAAGGAGACGCCAAGCACATCCAGTACTTCGACATTACGTCCGTGTACGAGGTCGAGGGGTCTTGCCCTAGAGCCGTCCTCCGGGGCGAAGGCAACCTCAACCGGCACGCCGATGCAAGAAGCCCGGACAACTCGATCGTCGAAGAAGGTGGCGGGATCTTCCCAGGGCATCCTAAAGGTTAAGACAATGCCAGGTTCGAATTCAGTTGCACCGGCTTCAAAGAGGTCGCTGCGTCTCGGCAAAGGCCTACAAACCGGACTTTCGCCCTACTCAAAGCTTCCCAAGTTGTCGACTCCTCGGAAGACTAGACTTGCGACTGACTGCGGAAGCACACCTGCTGGACTGCCTTCAGCCTCAAGATGCGAAAACAAGTCGACAATGTATATGAGCGCGTCGACTACGAAGCATGTCGGGTCGACTACGAAGCATGTCGGGTCGACTACGAAGCATGTCGGGTCGACTACGAAGCATGTCGGGTCGACTACGAAGCATGTCGGGTCGACTACAAAGTCTGGACCTTTGTCGACAGAGCATGGGCAATCAAGTTCAAAATCGGCATCCAAGCTTGTGCCTTCAACCGCAAAGCCTTCCTCTTCATCGGTGAAGCGTATGCTGTCGACTGCAAAGTCAGTGTCTGTGTCTTCTCAGAAAGTTGTGCAGCCTGCTACAGCTTCGTCGGCGTCGTCTTCTGTGCCGAAGTCGGACATTGCGGGCGTTTTCTCGACCAAAAGCTTTGCGGCTTTCGCTTCCTTCTTTGAGGTGTCGCAACTGCCGTCGTTCGACAGCTTTGCCGGGCCGGATTCCACGGTTTCGTCGCCACCTTCAGCATCTCAGCCTGGTGAGTTTTCTTTTTTTTTTTTTTCGATCTCTTTTATGCCCGTCTTTTTGTTTATTTCATTTGCCACTAAAATGTCGGCTGAGAATCGACTGTGACACTCTCATTCGACTTGGGAATCGAAATCTTTTTTTCTCGCTTCCTCGGCAGTTTATTGCGTGGCACTGAATATATCAATGGTTGCAGGCAGTAGTTGCTTGCAGTTGCAGTTGCGCGTTGTCAGTCATGTCATCACGTGGGTGATCGGCATCCCCACCTAGGGCACGCTGCCAGGATATTGATGACATGGCTAAAACGACTGTCACTATTCCAATCATAACTGTGAGGGGTGCTTGGGATGCTTCTTGAGTGCAATTTTTAAATCGGACAAAAATACTAGAAAATTATTGACCCTCAAAAACCAATATTATAGCAAATTCTTCAAATTTGTCTGGCCTTTTTTTTTAAAATTGCCGTCAATACTGCAGTTTCAACATGACCCCTAAAACCAGTAATGAAAGTTGACAGATTTTTGTTAGTCAACTTGTCATGAAGATTATCCCTCGTATAATGTCCTCCGGGCACACTAAATGCATGGTGGAGACTGCACTCCAGTGGCGTCATCAGTGTCAGCGGCACGCTGGCCTCCCGCAGCACACACACCCAACCTCCCCCCTTTCACTCCCCCCCCCCCCTTGAGCACAGCACCCAAAGCGGTCTGCCCCCCCCCCCCCCCCCCCCACTCCTAGTGACAGCACTGAAGCACTCGTCTTGCTCTCGCCTCCTTTTCTTAAAAAGTCTGTTCAATGTTTTTGCACGATTGGCTCCTGGATTTGATTGATCGACGAGGTATTTGTCACATTTTCTTCCAATCAAAGTTGAATCCGCTTAAAAACGAACACTAATGCTTTCTTCGCCAGATTTTCAGCAAAAAAATTATTGTGCCTTTAAATCTCGATTTGAACCGTCAATTTGAATGCTAAAGTCATGAAATCCCAAGTGTCTTGAATGCAACAAAAACAGAAAGTGGGAGCAAATTGAAGGGTAGTAACTCCGCAGGCCCCTCCACCCACCCCCCTCCCTTTTTTCTTTGTCTGCCTCAGCGGGTTCGCAACCAGACCAGGGTGCGGCTGCAGCGGAGACTCCCGAAGTCCCAATGGAGTGGGTACCTTTTTTTTTTTTATGTGGGGAATTTCTTAATTTTGCCCTCCGAGGGTTTTATTAAACGTGTGCCATTCGGAGGGCCAGCTTCCGGGGTTTTGTGTCTGCGGCTGGTACGTGGCCCCTATAGCGACGTCTCGGTGTTTGCGACAGTTTCATTTGGTACCGATGTACCGTAAACAACTCGTGCAGGATCGTTCATTTCTGCTTTGAAAGCTCAAGTTTTTGGGAGTGCTTGGGAGGACGCCCATCAAGCGGGGCTATCTTCTGACAGGGTCGCGGAGCCGAGTGACAGGGAGGACGTTTCAGCTGAACTGGACCTGGAGGTGGATCTGGACGTTGATGGGATCATGGACAGAGTGGACGCCCTGGACGTGAGGCACACACTCTACTGGAGCGTCTCGGAGTGAGTGTCTCGTCTCCTGATGCCTTTGGGCTTAATGCGTGACGAACACCAGTCGTCCCCACACATTCGTGCTGCTTTTCTTGGGGGCGATCTCGCGTGACGTGCTTCCCGTTTGTATACTCGCTGGAGCCACGTCAATACACTTTCGCCCTAGTTCCTTTTTATGTAGAGATGCAACATCTCCAAGCTCGCTAGAATTTTTTTTTTTTTTTTTTTGTGTCGCAACTGATTGGATTAGTTGGAGCTGTCGGAAGCGTACAAGGGCGTCGGCCGACGCCTGATTTTTATCAATAGTGGTCTTCGGTTTTCCTACTGCAAGCCGGCGACGGAGAAGTAGACCTGTCGGCGGCCAAAATAACCCCGGTAAGAGCCTTCTAGGGCAACAGCAGAAACATGGAAAGTGGAGTAAGAGGGGGGTTTCGGCGGTGCAAGTATGTCCCTGGTGGTACTTAGTGAGTTCCATCGTTGACAGATCCACTCTTTGTGCTCGTGCGTTTTAGCATCACCAAAAGCAGCTTCAGTGACTAAGCTTCTGCGCGCAAATTAATGGTAAAAGTGGCAAAGGCCGCTCGTCAACGTGGCTGAAGCAGTTTGCTGGAAGTGAAGAGGCATCTTGCGAAACCACCCTATGACAAAGATGTGGATATGGTGAGGCAAAGTTTCAATGGGCTTGCGATACTGGTACCGGGGTGTGAGCTACTGGTGCGGCTCTGCAATACTGTTTTGGTACGAGATATTTCCTGATAAAACCGACGCTTGCTAAACTACTCCTGTGCCAGACTACACTGCATTTCGCTACATACGTGCACTGCTCTGGCGGTGCACGTATGTAGCGAAATGTAGAAATGTAGATGTAGAAATGTAGCAAAATGTAGAAACTGAGGCATCACGTGCCTCAGTTTCTAAAGCAGACGGGTGCCGTGATGAACAAATTATGTGGCTGCAGCCAACACTACACTCCAATGGCGCTAATTGACTTGCGCCAAAAGCGGATCGTTGTGGCGCTCGTCATCTTTGTTTGCTACCACTAGTTAAACCAATGGAGCACGGTGAATCCGGCATGGTCTTGCACTTTTTAATGCTCGTGACTGGTTCAGCTGGCGATGGCAAATGCACAATGACGACACACATTTCGCACTGCTTGAATGGCTTTGTTGGATTGCAGCATTGACTTCGATGTGACTTGAAGGAAAATGGAGTGTATACTCTCTGTCACTAGTTCTGTGCAGTGCAGGCGAATGCAGTGCCTGGCAGAGATAGAAAGGGCGAGCACTAGCTAGGAAGGCAGGGTGGGGAGAGAAAGGGAGAGCACAAGGAACATTAGAGGGGAGGAGGCGTTCCTAGTGCTTGCCCTTTCTCCCCTTGCCTGGCATTGCCCAGCTTCGCCTGTACTGCATGCAACTAGTGACACGGCCTGGCGGTTGCGTCGTTCGATAGATCTCGAAAGGTTGAGTCGACGGCCGATCTGGAACATCCGCCGGGCAGTTTTGGGGCTTGTATTTGGGCCAGTGTCGTAAACTTTGGCGCTTTCTCTGGGCGCAGTGATCAGCTCGAGCGTGAGGTCGCCGCCTTTGACAGCACGCGGATAGTGTTCAAGGCGTTGAGAGGCAAGATACTGGTCTACGTTGAGCTCGGCAAAGAAGTCCGGAGGCCGGGAGCAAGGTACCTGTTCACAAACGCGGACGGTGTGAAGGCACGCCGCAACACCAAGCGCATCTACAACATCTGGTTCCACTCCGAGCAACCAGGTGAGTTGTGCCGCCGCACGCAATAGACGTCGCGGAGGCTCGTCTGGTGGGTTGCGTTGCAGCAGCAAGTTCTTTATTTTACTGCGATGACAGTTAGTGGGACACTTCACGCCTTTCATGCCATCGACTGCGCTCCATATCAACTCAAGCCATTTTCTGCGCTCTGCCAAAAGATTCCATATTAGGCAGTTTTAGAATATCACACGCTTCGAGTTTGACAATCGAGGTCATTTGAGCAGAATTCCGGATGGCGCACATATGTTCTAGTATCGGTTTAACACGCGTTATATCAGCCGTTCCTTTTAAGGTGGGCTATGAACATCTTAAATTTTGTCAAACGAAGTTAAGCACTCTTTTGGCCTTCAAAATCCTATCTATACGAGCATTTCACGAACAGTCAACAGGGTGGGAACGGCAAGGTGGAGTTTGAGTTGTCTCTCCTCCATTGCGTGCTCCCTACCTTCGACAACATTCGGGTGTTATCATTTTTTTTTTTAATTAATATAAATTGCTGCATTATTTGTCTTTGGAGTTGTGCACAGTATCTTCAATAAATTTTGTTTGCTCTTAATTATGTATGATGCGTAGCATTTTGGTTTTTTGTTAGAATTTTGGTTAGCGATAGCATAGCACTTTTACGACTTCCTTCGGCGGAAATCGGAGACGCGTTCCAGACACCATGGCGATGTCCTTGTCAGACGGTTCTTTTGTTTTGCAGCCGACACAGATTACGCTCCAGTGTACGTGTTTCTGGACAGCGAATTTCGGAGGAGGGTCGACGAAGGCGATCTGCGCAGGCGCTACTCTTGCACGGACGACCTCGGCAAGGTGAGTGCATTGTCGGCCTCGTCATTGGGTGGGTTTTCCGGTAGCATTATATTTGCCCATGGCCAGCTTCACCTACGGTCTCTGACAGAAAATGGTAAACGAAGGTAAAACTAAAAATGTTTTTTGAGGTGAACTATTGCCTGCACAGGAAAACGGGAGGCGTCGAGCATTCTGTGTCGGTAACTGGGATGAGTGCGCTGGAGCTGTGCAATATTGCCGCTCTTTTTACATGTGATACCTTCCGTAAAGTTCCACCCCATTCTCGGCAGTCATTGAGCGTTCTGGATTGGAACTCTCTAGAAGAATACCGATTAATAAAAGAAAGACCTCAGCTGACTGGGGGTTCGAACCCTGTTCCTCTGGCAACTGTGGGAAGAAACTACTGGAATTACATAATTTCTATTAGAATGTAAAAAAGTGAATTTTCTTGCGTACCTTTTCGTAACAAAAGACCACGAATATGCAGAAAGTAAAGTTGCAGCCACATCTCAATGTCAATATATGGTTTTCCTTCAGCAAGATTTGATGCCAGAAACATGCAAATGAGACACACTTTGAAAGTTCAGAAAGCTGCAGTTCGGATTCTGCCGGTATGTCAGAAATAATTTATTAAGGTGAATGCCTTACTTGTCCCATTGAATGACAAATCTGAGTAAATGGCCATAAAAATGAGAGAGTGGCACGCGCCGCTCAATCGTATGCTCAAGCACGTCCATCGTCCTTGCGGTCGTCCTATAAGTTCTTCTAGACCTCTGGGACGACCTCACTTGTCATAGTACTTGAAAAACAAGCGGCATCGGCATTGTTGTGCCCAAGAAAAAGCCATACAAATGTCATTAAGCATTATCACCGTGATGCCATCAAGCGTCGTCATGCATCATCAGCGTGATGCTGCCACCGGAGTGCTGTGCGTAAAAGGTGCGCTTCGGACTTCATTTGCACGCGTTGTATGCTTCGTGCGATGGACTGTGAGGCGACCGCGTCTACATCTACGGCAGATACGCCACCGCCTCCTTAAGTGTCCTCCTCTAGGCGTCGTCTTCTAAGCATCGTGCTAGAGGTCGTTCTAGACGTCCTTTACTGGCTTTCGCTTTCCTACATGTAAGCAGTCTTACATGTACTCGTGCAATTTTCACAACTTTCTGAGCATCCATCGGGATATTTTAAAGCTGACAACACTATACCGTAATATCCCGAGTCATCGCCCATCCCCGAGCTATCGCCCACCCCATTTTTTGGGCCAATATCGATTTCCGAAAAAACACCGAGTCATCACCCACCCCTTCAAATACCCCAGCGTGGACTCTGCGATCCGCGAACACTCATCCTACCCGAATGACGCGGCCGCGGACCTTACAGTTGGAGGACCTCCGTGACAAAGTAAAACGAAGGAGGGAAAGACACTTCTTTTTGTTTACGCATTTCCTCCGTGAGCGACCCCAAAGTGGTCGTGTATCCGTGCGAAAAGAAAACGTGGAGATAACAAAATAAGAGTTTGTTAATGTAACCGCGGAGTATTAAGTCAAAGTCTGTCTCCGCCGAAGTAAGGACACCGCGAACAAGCTCCTTCTTCCCGCCCGTCGCGACCGCGGTTGTGCAATATTTTAGGCAAAGCCAACGCGTAAATAAAGCTTTGCTGGAACGCCCTACACAGACGGTTGCAGGGCGTCCCAACCGTGCATTGATAGCCCGCCGTGCACGGACACACGTATGTACGCACCAAACAAGAAAGTTGCGCAAGAGCTTGCGATTGACAAGGCGCCCGACTTGGCTTGACGCCAAAGTATTTGCCAACGCGACCGCCGGCTTTCCCGCTTTCCCAGGATTGCTCTTGGTCGCTTCTTTGGTCCGCTCGCTCGTTGCTCCTGGTCGGTTTTTCTATTTTTTTGTAGACTTTTCTTTCTTTTTTTTACTAACTAAGAGAACGTAGTGGTGACATTCTTTCACGGAACAAACGTTCGCGCTATATGCAGATCGGCGGTGTTTCTAGCGCGTATGCAAGCAACGGACTTCGCTATAGTAAAATATTCTTTCGTGAGCATTCTTTTCTATAAAACAATGAAACTAAATCGAGTTTTGAGTTTTATGTATCTCTTGTGCATCAGCGCTAGATACGCAAAGAAAAATAGGCGGTTTTTTCCGCTTTTTTTCAAGTGTTTGTGCTCACCCACCGAGACATGGCCCACCCCACTTTTTTAATGAATTTCAGGCAGTAGGGGGGTGGGCGATGACTCGGGATATTACGGTACTCATTAAAAATGGAACTTTGATAAAGAGATATTACAATTTTAAGGTAGCGTCCACCCTCAAAAACGTGTGGTGGTGCGCCGTGTCAGGTGTTTTATTGTGATTGTACTGTCGCATTTATACGAGCTGAAACATTCGTTCGTGCTTCTTTGGCATACCTGCCAGTTTTTTAAGAGCCTTGGGTCCGAACCAGGAACGGCAGGAGGGAAGGGGCGTTTTGGGTGACGGTGCGCGGCCTGCCGAGAACCATAGGGGCACGGGGCGTTTGTTTTTCTGACAAGTACTTGCTTTTTTGTTCCGATCAGTTGCTGGAGGAGATCTCTGCCAAGTCGCACAAGCTGACGGCCTTCATCGATGATGTTGTGACTGCCACCCGTCGTTACTTCTTCAGGCTGAAGGACTCGATGTGAGTGGGAAGCTGTGACCCTTTGTTTCTGAAAAACGCAAACGACAGACAAAGCTCGGTCCTGGTAGAGAACGGTGGTGAGGAGTCTTGGTTACCCCGCTTTTAGTGGGAGCTCCATACCTTCGTACCTTCGATAACGCTTCGGCATCTGGAAGCGAATGGGCGTTCAAAAGAGACTCCCTGCAATTTCCACTTTGTTGGTGACTGGACCGTACTGCTAGGGTGAGAAGAGAGTGGAATGAGCCTCCATTTTTGGGCAGTTCCAGCAGTACGGCCCATCGGAACTGCCTAAACAACGAGCATCGTCGTTGGGCAGTTCCGGCGGTGGCCTTGCCCTCTTCCACCCGCCGAATGGGTTGAAATGCTTGTGGAGTTTGTCGTCTGCCCACCGCAATGATTCCGTTGTATTGCCTAGATGTACGTAGACGGCGCTGCAGTCGAACAAAAGGGCACTGCCCAGAGAGCCCTTAGTGGAATGGTCTATGATAGCGTGGCTTCACCTTCGTTCCTGGTAGTGCGATAGTGGTAGTAGCAGCCTGGCTTGAGCTCTTTTCGGACGCACTGACGAGGTCCTTTACTGGAAAGGACCTTCTCCGAAAGAAGTCGCGCAACGTCGTAAAAGCCCTGTCTATTGAAATGGCATTTTCGGGAAAGGTTGCCAACGGCCTTTACATGCTGCAGGCACTAACAGCATTGTTAGTATGTGAGCATTAAACTTGAATACAGATACCGGGCAGGCTTTTGAACGTTCTTTGTTTCTGCAAGCGGGCAATATTTCGTCATTCTTCGGCGTTTTCCAGACATACCCAAAGATTTTGTGCCAGTTGCTAGCTGAAATCTGGTAAATCACTAGGGATGTTGCAAACTTTTGTTAATTCTGCGGTTTGACTCGGCGAACCTCGAGGTTTGATCGGTTTGGCGAGCCTTTAAACTTTATGCGAAGTTCGAAGTTCGGCTTATGAACAATGTTGCCCGGCTTCTACACAAACTTTGAATTTTGAGAAGCAGATAAATTTATAAGGTACCGAATTTACTCGAATATAAGTTGACCACGAATATAGGGCGATGCCTTTATATTAAAGGCGCTGAGAACAAGAAAAGATAATTCAAATATAGGTTAACCTATCTTTTTTAAAGAACAGTGGAAAGTTTGGGCAAAAGAAAGAAGCAAACCTTTATTTACAGTGAACTCTCCTAAATCACGGCGCGATGCCAATAACTTAATCATCATCAGAACTTCAGGACGTGTCATCGTCGTCGCAAGCTTCGTCAGCTTCGTAGACTTCCTCACAAATTTGCAACAATACCTCACTGACATTGGTGCAAAATGACGAGAACAAGAAACGAAAGGAGACGGGTGAAGCGACGAAAGACCAAATGCAAAAACGCGAGCAACGCCGCGAGTCGCCGTGAGCAATGCGCAAGCTGCCGTGAGCAATAAAAAAAAAAATCGGCCCCCATATTTCTTTTGGGCGCGCGTCCGCGAGAGAGAAAGAGAGAGATGGAGTGACAAGGGGGCAAGGTCAAGGCACGTCGTGTTCCTCTCCCTCCCCTTTCCCTTATGCGTAGCGAGGGGCATACGTGAGTGGTGCCAGCCGCGGCCAAGCGCAAAACCCGACGCCCGAGGAATGCGCGCGAGCGGTGGCCACGGAGGTCAGGCCACTGGCTCCTGCTGCTATTTCAGTTGTTTTCGTGCTCCAAAAGCTTTCTGAAGAAGCGGCGTGGCTCTACGGCAACACCGGCTTGGTGCCTCGATACCTCCATGCCTTCAGTAGGGTTGCGAAATTTGGTCATGAATGTAGGTCAAAATTTTCTGGTCACGATTATAGGTCGACCCTTTATTTTAGGTTTTAAAAAATGATTATCAATATTTATATGATATAAACACGAAAATGGGTACTTTTAATGCTTTCTTTCATTGGTAATGCGAATTAGTGAAGCAGTATGTTTCACAAGGTTGGATGCTTACGTGTATGTTTTAAAAGGTGACGGAAGTGAAGTAATAGCATCCAAGTGGTGGCATCAATTGCCTCCACCAGACAGATGCCATTACCTCACCTCTGTGACCTTTTAAAACTAAAAGTAAACGTCCTGTTGTTCACACTCGCTGCGCTTGCTGCAACCGTCGTTTGACCTAACAGCAGGGCAGGTCGCTATTGAACGACTGGCAAACTACATCAGTGTCATCTGTTGCATGCGACGTGAATGAAACTCCATGACACAGCTAGCACAATCTGGTATAATTGACTAAAAGTCGAGTGCTGAGTTTATTTTTTTTTTCATAAAAACAAAACTAGTCACTATCGTTACGCTGGTATGCCAGCAACACCCCTTTTTGCATTATTTTTTTTTTCTGGGAATGTTTTGTTAGATTGAGTTCATGGTCAAATTTATTTTGTCATTTCGAGTTCATAAATGCATGGAGCCCTTGGCAGTCTTTGGGAAAATTAAACTTTCTTCGTTATAATGGGAATTTAATAAAATCTGGTTTTGTAAAATGGTTTAAACTGTAGCTCGATACCTGCAGGAAGCACTAATTATTGCTGACGGTTTTTGTTGGGGCTGCAATAAATATTTTTTTCAAAATTCAGTGAACACATACCTTAGTATGTACTAAGTATGCTTCTAATAAAATGTTATTTTGCCCTTAGTCTCTCCATTCGGATCCTTTGCCACAGGAGGCTGCTTTATTTTTACGTGAACTTCAAGATTGATCTCGACACTTACCCCAATGAGGTGATGGTGCCGTCTGTCCGCAATAATCCAACATACACCAGCCACATGCCGTGAGTTTCCTTGTTTGCTTCTTTTCTGCATGGCTTGCATTTAACCATTAATTCAGTTCTGTCGATTTCGTTTGAGTTTGCGATTCAAATAAGCTTTGGTTTAAGTGACACGTCAGCGATTTTTGGTTTCAATAAGTGCACAATTTTAGTTTTGAGAAAATTTGGCGATTTTAGTTTTGAGTAAATTTGGTGATTTTAGTTTTGAGTAAATTTGGCGATTTTAGTTCTGAGTAAATTTGGCGATTTTAGTTCTGAGTAAATTTGGCGATTTTAGTTCTGAGTAAATTTGGCGATTTTAGTTTTGAGCAAATTTGGCGATTTTAGTTTTGGGCGATTTTAGTTTTGAGCAAATTTGGCGATTTTAGTTTTGAGCAAATTTGGCAATTTTAGTTTTGTGCAAATTTGGCGATTTTAGTTTTGAGCAAATTTGGCGATTTTAGTTTTGAGCCAGTTCAGCGATTTTAGTTTTGAGCCAGTTCGGCGATTTTAGTTTTGAGCCAGTTCGGCGATTTTAGTTTTGAGCCAGTTCGGCGATTTTAGTTTTGAGCCAGTTCGGCGATTTTAGTTTGAGCCAGTTCGGCGATTTTTAGTTTTGAGCCAGTTCGGCGATTTTTAGTTTGGAGCCAGTTCGGCGATTTTAGTTTGGAGCCAGTTCGGCGATTTTAGTTTGGAGCCAGTTCGGCGATTTTAGTTTGGAGCCAGTTCGGCGATTTTAGTTTGGAGCCAGTTCGGCGATTTTAGTTTGGAGCCAGTTCGGCGATTTTAGTTTGGAGCCAGTTCGGCGATTTTAGTTTGGAGCCAGTTCGGCGATTTTAGTTTGGAGCCAGTTCGGCGATTTTAGTTTGGAGCCAGTTCGGCGATTTTAGTTTGGAGCCGGTTCGGCGATTTTAGTTTGGAGCCGGTTCGGCGATTTTAGTTTGGAGCCGGTTCGGCGATTTTAGTTTGGAGCCGGTTCGGCGATTTTAGTTTGGAGCCGGTTCGGCGATTTTAGTTTGGAGCCGGTTCGGCGATTTTAGTTTGGAGCCGGTTCGGCGATTTTAGTTTGGAGCCGGTTCGGCGATTTTAGTTTGGAGCCGGTTCGGCGATTTTAGTTTGGAGCGAGAGAGTTGGGCGATTTTAGTTTGGAGCGAGAGAGTTGGGCGGTGTTAGTTTCGAGCGAGAGAGTCGGGCGCTGTTAGTTTGGAGCGAGAGAGTTGGGCGGTGTTAGTTTGGAGCGAGAGAGTCGGGCGGTGTTAGTTTCGAGCGAGAGAGTCGGGCGCTGTTAGTTTGGAGCGAGAGAGTTGGGCGGTGTTAGTTTGGAGCGAGAGAGTCGGGAGAGTTGGGCGGTGTTAGTTTCGAGCGAGAGTTGGGCGGTGTTAGTTTCGAGCGAGAGTTGGGCGGTGTTAGTTTCGAGCGAGAGTTGGGCGGTGTTAGTTTCGAGCGAGAGAGTGGGGCGGTGTTAGTTTCGAGCGAGAGAGTGGGGCGGTGTTAGTTTCGAGCGAGAGAGTTGGGCGGTGTTAGTTTCGAGCGAGAGAGTTGGGCGGTGTTAGCTTGGAGCGAGAGTTGGGCGGTGTTAGCTTGGAGCGAGAGTTGGGCGGTGTTAGTTTCGAGCGAGAGTTGGGCGGTGTTAGTTTCGAGCGAGAGTTGGGCGGTGTTAGTTTCGAGCGAGAGTTGGGCGGTGTTAGTTTCGAGCGAGAGAGTGGGGCGGTGTTAGTTTCGAGCGAGAGAGTGGGGCGGTGTTAGTTTCGAGCGAGAGAGTGGGGCGGTGTTAGTTTCGAGCGAGAGTTGGGCGGTGTTAGTTTCGAGCGAGAGAGTTGGGCGGTGTTAGCTTGGAGCGAGAGTTGGGCGGTGTTAGCTTGGAGCGAGAGTTGGGCGGTGTTAGTTTCGAGCGAGAGTTGGGCGGTGTTAGTTTCGAGCGAGAGTTGGGCGGTGTTAGTTTCGAGCGAGAGTTGGGCGGTGTTAGTTTCGAGCGAGAGAGTGGGGCGGTGTTAGTTTCGAGTGAGAGAGTGGGGCGGTGTTAGTTTCGAGCGAGAGAGTGGGGCGGTGTTAGTTTCGAGCGAGAGTTGGGCGGTGTTAGTTTCGAGCGAGAGAGTTGGGCGGTGTTAGCTTGGAGCGAGAGAGTTGGGCGGTGTTAGCTTGGAGCGAGAGTTGGGCGGTGTTAGCTTGGAGCGAGAGAGTTGGGCGGTGTTAGTTTCGAGCGAGAGGAGTTGGGCGGTGTTAGTTTCGAGCGAGAGTTGGGCGGTGTTAGTTTCGAGCGAGAGAGTCAGGCGGTGTTAGTTTCGAGCGAGAGAGTCGGGCGGTGTTAGTTTCGAGCGAGAGAGTTGGGCGGTGTTAGTTTCGAGCGAGAGAGTCGGGCGGTGTTAGTTTCGAGCGAGAGAGTCGGGCGCTGTTAGTTTGGAGCGAGAGAGTCGGGCGGTGTTAGTTTGGAGCGAGAGAGTCGGGCGATGTTAGTTTGGAGCGAGAGAGTCGGGCGCTGTTAGTTTGGAGCGAGAGAGTTGGGCGGTGTTAGTTTCGAGCGAGAGAGTCGGGCGCTGTTAGTTTGGAGCGAGAGAGTTGGGCGGTGTTAGTTTGGAGCGAGAGAGTCGGGCGGTGTCGGTTTCGAGCGAGAGAGTCGGGCGGTGTCGGTTTCGAGCGAGAGAGTCGGGCGGTGTCGGTTTCGAGCGAGAGAGTCTGGCGGTGTCGGTTTCGAGCGAGAGAGTCTGGCGGTGTTGGTTTCGAGCGAGAGAGTCGGGCGGTGTTGGTTTCGAGCGAGAGAGTCGGGCGGTGTTGGTTCCGAGCGAGAGAGTCGGGCGGTGTTGGTTTTGAGCGAGAGAGTTGGGCGGTGTTGGTTTTGAGCGAGAGAGTTGGGCGGTGTTGGTTTTGAGCGAGAGAGTTGGGCGGTGTTGGTTTTGAGCGAGAGAGTTTGGCAATTTTATGTTTGAGTGAATTCCTTCTTTGAGTGCACGAGTTCATGCATTTTCGATATTGAAATCGTTTTTTCTTGTCCTGTGCATACCTTCCACTAAAAAAAGCTAAATGGGATCCTTGAGCAAAGATGATTGTTTCGTCATAACTGCTTAAAGGGACAGTCTTTAAAGCAGGGGTCTCAAACTCATTCAGGTGCAGGGGCCGTAGCCGCCCCCTCGCAGAGAGGTTGTGTGGGGGAGGGAGGCAATTCTTGCATTTTAATTGTATTTTTTTACTTCTAGAACCCCAAGCTCATAGCTCTTGCTCCCACTAAGCAAGAGTTTGTGCAGCTGGGGAGAGTCCTATAAAGAGCTTGTGCTTGTAGCATATAGGTAGGATTGTCGTACAGATGATTATATGAGGGTGTCAAAAAATAATGAAATAGAGAATTATGTAAACATGTTTTAAGGGGGCACACCCCCTAGGAGGGTCAACTTTTGAACCCTTGGCTTAACATTAATGAAATTTTCAGGGTAGGCTGGTGGTCATGCTCAAGGGTGCATAACAAAATTTCATGTCTTTCGGTTAAGCGGGAAGGAAATTAGGGCAGCTTTTATCAGAAACACGCCTACAGTGTTTAGTTCGTCTATCGTCGGAAAACTATCACGATATTCAAGATTTTTATTCGCTAGATATGTAGCAGAATGCCTAGGAGGGGCAGCTATGGAAAGCGTTTTGTAAAAATTCACTTATTTCTATCCATTTTCTCTTCTGCAAAATTTGTCAACTTTTTGGTCTTCTTTGTCTTTGACAAAATGTCAACATTTTTTATAAAAGACATCTGTAAAGTGACAAAAACATTCCATAGCCACATTCCTTGTTAAATTTCAGTCAGGAAAAGTGAAGAACGAGCCTTCCCTGTATTGCCATTATCAAACGATAGGTTGACTAAAATGGAATTTATACCAAAAAGTGGAACAGAGAAAAATGTGTTCAAAGTGCTCCAAACCCTACCTTTTCTTTAGCTTTGGTGGACAGAAAAAAATTTATAAAAAATTAACTATGTAGTGTAAACTAATGAAAATTTCTGAAATACTCTCTAGATGTTGGGGGATGTAAATATGTAATTTTTCAAAATCAATGTTTTTTGCAGAATTTTGTTTTTTTCTGTGTAGTGTCCCCCCTTAAATGCAGATCGAAGATTTAAACTTAAAGAAACTGACGACATGAGAGCGTTATTTATGACGCACATAGCACTTGGGATCTGCAAATGAAGGTTTGCACCCACTTGACGCTTGGGGGCCACGTGTTTGAGACACCTGCTTTAGCGGAATGTTAACTTCATTGTTTGCATACTTCTTCAGTACAACCCGTTACGAAGAAAACACTGCACTTTTGGGAAATTGTGTGCAGCGGTGTGAATTGTCAGTTGGTGATTGGGTCGTCCAAGGTATGCTGCACATAGTGTATCTCACATGTGCCTTACAAGATGCAGAGTATTTTCTCTATCTGTGTAGGTCTTAATGTTGTCATTGCATCCACTGAAAGTTTTGGAAACCGTGCGCCTCTTATCACCATACCATACTGGATGGACACTTGAAACAAAGATGGCCAGAGTATTTCTCGTCAGGCTTCATTCACTGAAAATATATTCATGTTTCTTGTTTCCTAAAACTAATTGGAAATGTTTTTTGCCTTCTGAACAGGCCGGACAAGGCTCAGCGTGTGATGGCTCGAGTACAGCCAGGTGTCAACTATATTTCGAGGATGCTGAAGGAGCTGCGGGATTTTATGGCCAAGTAATTCACCTGTGATCAACCCGGTTGAATCGGCCGGACCTCGTTCATTTGATTTTTTTGATTCCTGTGCTAGCTTTTAATATTGTTATACTTTTCATATTCGTTCGCATGTATAATATAATCATCCAACCTTGTTTATATTTATTGTCAATGCCAGTAAAGGCTGCTCACATTTTGTTGAAGATTTTCGCTATTAAATGTACAAACTCACTATGTCGCAGGGTGATTTCATCTCGAATCCTGCAGGCAAGTTTTTAATCTGGGCAAAAAGAAAATGTGTTGTAGGGAATTTGCTGCCTACCCTAAAATATTGGGCAAGCGGCCCACTCAAACTTTTTAGATAATTGCAAAAAAATGGGGGATTGGCGCTTGTCCAGTCATCAATTTTGCATATAAATGTAATGCGCATGTTTTCTGTGACCTTGCAAATTTGGCTTCAGGCGCTTAGTGTGGAATGAGCGGATGTGCGGTATTCTACGGTAGTATAAAGGTGAAAGCCACGAGTTGGGATAATTTTTTGTTCTCGAGTTCTGAACTCCAGAAGCGGCCGCAGAGGATACAAGTTTTCCCCAACTGTCGAAGGTTGTATGTTTGACTCACTCTCCTTCCGCGAGTTTTGCCTCAACCTTTGTTTTTGTTTTGGTCCAATTTTGTGGCAGGGGCGAACTTACCAATAGGCAGAGAAGGCAGGAGGACAGAAGTTTGGGTGTGGCCTAGGGAGACAGAATTTCGGGGGCGGCCAATTTGTGATCGCCCCCAAATTCACTTCTTTTTTTTTTTTAATAGCTTTGAATTTAGTTGCTTTCGGAATTCTGACTTCAGATATAGCTACTTTTGAAAATATTAACTCCGAACAAGCATTAATCAAAAGTTGAAAACTATCTACAATAAAAATATGGTATATATCGCGGCCTTAGCAAATAGTTTCAACATCGAGGAAAGGGTGTCTTTAAGCAATAAATTTTCTAAATTTTGGTGAAGTAGGGTACAGCATAATACGGTAAGCACTTTAGTACAGCGATCGCATCACTCTGATGGTATACCCTAGCAGAGGAGTCCCTCCTGCAAATGGTTTTATGCCATCCCTTTATTTATTTCTAAAATTCTATAGGAGTGCAGAGCATGTGTGGAAGATACCAGACCATGCAGACACTTGAGAAATCCGGTCGAATTGGCTTCTTCTTGCACGCTGGCCAAGTACATTAATTTTAAGCTCCGGCTTGCGAAAAGAGAAACAAAGGTGATGCAGACTAGTTCACATTAGGTCAAACACAAAGGAAACTTGTTAGCCCTTCTTACTGGTAGCATTTTTTACCAAGTGTGAATGGGCAGATACTGATGCCGTGATCGGCCAAAATACTTTGGGCATAGCATGCTTAGCTGCTAAAGTGGCCAGAAAGATAAAAAGCCGGGGAGATTAATTTTCTTTGTGCCACACTTTTCGTGTCTTAACCTTTCAACAGTCATCTTCTCACATGTTTCATGGTAATCTGCACCTTGGATTAACCACACACTTTTTGTGAAATGTGGCAGCCGATGTGCACGGTCATAAACATGAACAATCTGTTCATATGACAGAAAGTCGTGAGATGGGACAAGACCAGATCCATGAAGAGGTGCTGGGTCTTAAAAAGCCCCTGAAAAGAAAAAAAAAAATTTTTTAAACAGTTTGGTTGGGACACACATGCCAAAAAAGAAATTTTACACAACATTTTTTGGAGCAATATTGACGGTGGGAGATTTATTTGAAATTCTGCGCGAAGTCCACGACATTACGGAATGGTCATTCGCTTTTTCGACCTCAACAAGATGGTCGTTCTCTCTTTGTGCCTTAATGTGAAGGCAAAGCCGATCCACCTCTCCTACATGCGCTTGAAATGCCGACAGGGAAAACAAGTAGAAAGGCGGTTAGTTGTGACTAAATCACGTCTCGCACCGTCAATATTGCGCTAAAAAAAGTTTTTTCGCCTAAAATTTATTTTTTGACACGTGTGTCCCAAGACTCCCAACCAGACTGTTCCAAAAAAAAAAAAAAATTATTTTCTTTTTTTGAAGTCTTGAAAGGCTTGGTTCAGGATTTGGGGTGGTAAAAACCTATGGTGAATGCAGAGAAAAAGAGTCCCATCAGGAGGGCAGAAAGAATACCTGACCTAAACATGCAGGGCAATACACAGCATTCAAGTATGGAGTTCAGGAAGTTTAACGACACTGGCTGTTGAAGAATCCAATGGGCAGCACGACAGCCACCCCAAAACATGAAATAGATCCCGAAATGCGCAGTGATGGTCCAGCAAGTTTGTTTCAGAGCAGATTCGGGTGAAATATTTGCCCTTTTCCCACACCATTCTGGCAGAGGCACCACTAAGGCCACAGACATTTCCCTCATTCCTTAGCTGGTGCTGACGGCTTTCCCGTATTGGAAGAGGCTTTTCAAACTGGTCTTGGCCCGAAATTCGGACTCTGGTGCCAAAGGGCGATGCTAAATGTTTTCATCGCCAATGGGGGGGCGACGGTGACTAACGGCATAATAGGAAAGTTTTGCTCAATCTGGCGTATTCTCCAGAGTTCAGAACAGATTCGGGTTGTGGAAGAGGGGGTGATTGACTCGGGTAGCTAATGCCACAATGAAACAAGACTAGAATCTGAGCAGACGATCAAGCTCTTTTCGGGAAGGAATGAGACAGATACATGGTCCGTTGTTTAGCCCCCTTATACGATGGACGTCCTGAAAATTGGATTTACTGCTGAGCTACTGCAAGAAAAGGTGTGACTGCACCAGCTCCCTTATGATAGGCGTAAATGCAATTTCAAGAAAAGGTAGTCAAGCGAGGTAAGTATTTTTGGAGATCACCATGGAGGAAATACGGATAACAAGTTAAAGGGGTACATTTTCCCTCCTAGCTTTCCTCCTCAACTTGCAAGTCGCGCATTGTACCAAACGGTCCAAGAAGACTGAAAGGAAGGACCCTCCTCTTTCTCGGATCCTCGTTTGTGTACTGTGACACAGCCACTCTCCCCCTAGAAGATTAGCCCGTCGCTCAAAACTCGAACAAAAGTTGCTTTCCCCACCCCGTTCAGCCCTAAGCTGACAGTGTTGTGGAAGCTATGTGCTCCTCGGGCCAGCCACACGCTCTTCACCCCACGGCCCACGGGTACTTCGAACGGCTCGGTGGTAACGCGCTGACGCTATTGACATCACCACAATGCTGACAACACCACCAAGGGCAAAGCTCATAACCACGCCTGCCTTGGTACGTCTCGATTGTGGGGAATCTTTTCTTTGTTTTTGTTTGGGCCGGATATCCCATGACATATCGCGCTCTCCATTCGCTTCTCTTTGAGCACTTGCTCAAGTGCACCGTTTGGAACGAAAAATATAGCCAGTCGTTCGAAATACAAACATGCGATTATCATTTACGGTTATTATCCGTCGTGCGTGGCTCATTTCCGAACGAAATTTGAATATTTAAATTTTTGTTTCCGTACCCCTTTAAAAGGACACTGACACTCCCCAAAAAATGTTTATTTTTTTATTTTTTGCCAGGCAATTTAATATTGTGGCAGGAGACTACCCATTCAATATTTTGCTGCAGAATCCTATTTCTAATGAAGCCAAAAAACTCCTGCTCGAAACCGAAACACGAGCACGGAGGCTCATGGCCAGAACTCTTATGGTTACACCCAACCACATTTTTTTTCCTCCACTTCTCTGGCGTGTGAAGCAGACAATGAAGTTGCATGCACAGTTTGTCATGCGATTGTTTTGCACTTACACTCCTTCCACTCGATGTTCTGCGGTTGAAGATTGATTGGTTGGTACCACTAACGACAGTTTCGAAGTAGCGGCCCATTGTCCGTCGTGATGTTGGTCCATCATGCGCCGCCATTGCATCTTCCAGCCCGCGGTACGTCGCCCTATTGAGAATGATCTGTAGATGTACTTCCCGTGATCTGTGCAACATTTTTTTTTTCAATCCGAAAACATTAACTGTCCCATGGAGCAAGCTTACGTCATCAGTTTGAAGCGCGAAAACGGCGCCTAGTTTCCACGATCGCCTTCTGTTTCATTGGCTGGCGCACGTCGACGGGGCTCTTGTTGGCCGCTGCGCTAGTCAGTTTCCACGACCGCTCACCCCATGGTGCTGCGTGTCCATCAGCGCGCCATTAACACGAAGTGTTAATGGCGCGCCAGGGGAGCACGAGCGCTGACCGGTGACGAAGAGTATGCAGCAGACAAAAAAGGGAGCGGACAGGCGGCTTGCATGCTTTCGCATTCACAACTCGTAAAAAATGCTTAAGTGTACCTCAAGCTTTTTTTTTTTTTTTTTTTTTTTTTTCAATCATTGTGTTGGCAGTTTTTTGGAGGCATCAAAAATGGGGTTCATACTCTTTTCTATTTTTTATATTGAATATGTGCCTTAGATGACCCTCGACTTTGAATATATTTGGTACACATAATTTTAAACACCACGTGACCATAGAAAAAAAGAGACTGAAACTGACCAATTCTCGACCGGCTGTTTTTGGGCAGAAAGAAAGCAAATTTCGAGCTGCAAGTTATCTTCTGGGTAGTTTGTCTCTTTTAGGTCACGTTTACATAAAAACCTTGGCGAGCATAAATACCCTGTCAGTGTCCTCTTAAAGATCAAGTCTTTCAAAATATTTGCGGGTGGGGGTTTTTGCAATTTATAGGATATTAATCTTAAGTTTGGTAGGTTCATAAAACTTGGGGGACGAGTTCTTATTGATAAACGTGTTGGCGGATATGCTGGTATGCTCCAGTACTAAAGAGGAACCCTCAATTATACCATAGATTTATCCAGAGATGCAATCACTTTTTTATTTTCAAGTGATCTGCTAACAGATGTTGCCGTCTGCTCCAAAAGCATCAGTGGCTGCTCCAAACCAATATTTTACCTGTCGCAGCACCTGCTACTAAAGGTGAAAATGCCGCTTCCATCACTGAGGAGTGACTAGACGGCCTCGGTGAGCAGCTCGTCTTCAAGTGGTCGACTCACCTTTCCACCCCCACCACTGGTCCCTCCCTCCTGAATTCCCCCCTTTGCCTCTGCTCTTTTCCCCCTTTTCCTAAGCATGCTCAGGGACCAGGCGGTCGTGCTCCATGGAATAAACTTTGCTGCGAGTTGAAAGAATGTACTTAGCTGGTGTTTCGTCCTCTCCATGTTTTATTCTTTCTGTTGTCTAGTATACTT